ATTGCTATCTTGTCATTTTTTCGAAGTTTTTCCCGTGAAATATCTTGAACCAATATTTTGATTTATCTGTTGAATCATTCAATTAATTATTCAGAAATTTCTAATGTACGCTTGACTTGTCTTCTTTATTCAATGGTTCACTTCACCTAAAGGTTTATTGTCCTTCATGACAATTACCTGGTGCTCCATTATATATATATATATATATATATATATATATATATATATATATATATAGAGAGAGAGAGAGAGAGAGAGAGAGAGGGAGAGAGAGTTACATGTATGTGAGTATTCTTATTTACTGAGATTAGTACCGTTTATGTTTGCTTAAAGAGTGTGATGGATTTCTATCATTATTCACACATATATTTATACATGAAACAAATCTATCATGACAAGTGTTCTATAAAAATGCTTTGTCTGAAAGCTTAATTCTATTTTAAACCATCTTATTCATTAGTTGACTAGAATATATTTATTAGTAACAACTGATCAACATCATTATTTGATCTTGCTCTGACACAATCTCATTTACAATTATTCACTTATTTTACTTGTTTTTCCATGAAATTTTCTGTTAAGTTACCTCAGTGTAAAAATGTGTATTTTTACTTTTAAGTACTTTTCATACATATATAAGACGACAAATAAAAGGAAACTCTTACGCAGATAATGCACTTTAGAAACCGGCGTAAGAACTTGACTAGCCTGTCGAACAATTCAAGTCACTATTGGGAATAGCTTTGAAGAAGGACAACACTCTGCAATCGTCGGTATTTGTTCTGTTACCTTTATTTGGTGTATACATATTAGCTTTACTTAGTGCTTGGATATGAATCTTAATTAATGCTAGTACGTTCACTGTGACCGAGTCAGAAGTTGAGAGTTATAAAAAATCAGAGTATTAACACTTCTTCTAAATTCAGCGATTCTTAATCAAAGTATAACCGCCTTTTTTGGAAATTTTTTCGTTGATCTATAAACTAATTATTGTCAGCAGTTGGAGTCACTGTAATATAGGCTTCTTATGTGGACATATATAAGTAGTATGTAGCTGGGATAGGGAGTAGAATCCTTACTAACAGAAGATCAAAATAAAGTGAACAAGAATGAAAACCTAAAGCAATTGGAACAACAGCTGAATCAGAAGAATAATGGAATATGTAAACGACAGCTGAATGATGACGTGCAAATGCCGTATTTAATGTATGACTTATATTGTACAAAAGGACTGTGCGAGTTTTCACGAAACGATACACTTGTATATCATATCTTAGTTTTCGTTCACTACATTACTATTACGTTCAATGTGTTATTGTTTCTATTCTCAATAGCCTTCTGTAACATTTTGTATACTCGACACTGACATAATAGAAACACGATCTTTCGGTTGGGTGCGGTCCTAATCATTAGGTTTATTAGTAAGGATGATAGAAAACTACCTTAACAAATATCGACAGTAGTCTTAACTGCCCACGGAATTATTCAACAAAATTTGAAATTTCAAATGCAAAGTACATTGAGTGGATAAATTGCTTCAGGTCAGTAACTTAACCCAAAGGAAATGAGTTTTTTTCAGATACGAAAAGTAGTTGTGTCATCTAGTGACCAAGCAATTTGATCACTCAAGCGCGAACAGTCAAATATTAGTACAAAATCCTGTTTAATCAAATTATGAAGTCTCGAGTAATTAACTCAATATTACATAGAAACCAATTACTTATCAAAGGAAAAAGGTGTATTCCTACCAAATAAATAACTTTATTGTATCATATCTCGTTAGATCAAAGCATCCACTTTATAAAGGAATGGTCAAACCGGGAAAAAATATGGCAGTCACCAAGTTTAGAGGTCAAGTAAAATGAAATTAACGCATTCTGTACATCATGAGAACAATGATGACACTGAAAAAAAATCAGAAACGGGATCCAAATTTATTACAACAGGAAGAAATGTTCTCGTTACCAGATATGTGTATATATTCTGCTCCCGCTTACATAGGATAAGCGAATATCTAGTTACATCCATTTCTACTCAAATTTGAATGCATATTGTCTTACTGCTAGAACCTACTAGTAAATGTATTTTGGATTTCCGATTGCCGAACACAAAGAATTTACTTACATCATCATTAAAATCAGAACACATAGAGTTTGGTTGAGCATTCTCACTTGTAATATCCTAATCGAGTACTAACATATCTGTTATTTCTTCTGAAGCACCCTAACGTGTCTCAGTCAACATGGTGCTGTGAGTGAAGCGATGTTAAATATTTATTAAATTGTCTATTACATGGTGTTTACGAAACGATCACAGAGTTCCCTTTATAATTTCAAATCCATTAGATTTGCTCGTTATTCCTCATTCATAGGGTTGTTTGAAAACCATTCCGCTGTTTGACTCAGCAACCTTGGGATCAACAGAGAACAGTAATAATTTAGTAGCATTCAGATGCCACTTACGTTCACATAAAATGAAGTGTAAGCTGAGAATTGCACTACTTTAAACACAATTCGTTTACATATGTTCTAGACCATTCGTGTTCTTTAAAATCCTTGGGGAATGGAGGCATACAAACTAACACTAAGCGTAGGCTCCCGATTTTCTATCTCCAGCCACCTACATTCAAAAAATAATGCATACAATATCGAGTTGCTTGTGCTAGTAGCCATCCAATTTTGATTAGTAAAATCCTATGAACGCTAAGGACAAAAATAACACTGGTCACTACTAGGTGAACAATTAGTGTATACCGTATTTTGAAAGAAATAGCTTACAAAAGTATACCGGTGGCACTTAAAAAGAAACTACAAGTTCGCTGTTCTCTATCACAAAACGTCATCAGTTAATTCTGCAGTACACCAAACATAATGTTCCTTTCCTTATTTCGCACACTAAGACTAAATAATCTTAATCATCACCTCGTGTTTCCTACCAGCACCTTTATGTTTGGATGTCGCGTAGTCGACCGTTACCGTACAGGTGAATATAGAACTATCACCTAAGTTGTCTAATGAATTTAACACATAGGAAAACAGCCCGAATTAAAAAAGTCTGGTCACGAAGCTAAAATACTTTTAATGAAAAATCCAGGATCAGAGTAACGAAAATCCGGTAAATTCAGACAACTCATCCTTTGAGAATGTAGATACCCATTTTGTACTACACTATTCAATAGAGTAAATCAATTTTATCGCATTATATGGGCGTGGTAGTTCATTAACTAACCAGGTTTTTCTACGTTAATTGATAAGACCGAGTATGGTCCACATGACTATGGTATGTATTTTGAGTCTCCAGTGTTTCTGGTTAAGGTTGATGTGTGTGCTATATGCAATCTACGTAGAAAGAACAGAATATTCGGTACGTTTATTATTATCATTTTTACTCGATAAAAGTATTTTATTTTTACACGTCCTGGGAACCATGTAGTTATATCTGCAGCTCATGTGTACTGAATTTCGTAAAAAAAAGCTGAGTATTATCTTCATTAACTACCCCACATGTTATTATTTCACTCATAGATATATGCAGTCTAGTAGTCTTAGGCTACACCTTATATTCTACTTCGAGTAAATAATTAGTATTACACGTCTTTATATGCTACGTGTAACCTACAACTTATTACATGAGCTTGGGTATGTGTTTTTGATTCTAACGGGTGAACGAGTGAAGATGAACATAAGAAAAGACGAGAAAGTTTCTGTTCAACCTGTATAATAGTATTTGATTTACAATGTAGCGAATATATATATTCGATTAACAAGCCACTCATTTATCTGTTTTTAGTAGACAAACAAAGCAAGAAAAGAACGTTTAAAATAAAAATATTCGAAGAAATGTTCTTTCTTGATACAAAGAAAACTGAACAGCTTTACATCGATGTCTATCTCATCAGGCATATGATTACTGAACAAACTGATTGCATTTACTAAGAGGTAAGAAGTAAGTAATAATAAACAAATCGTTGTTTGTTCTTTTGAAAGACTGGTTCTAGTTAATAGATAATATGAAAATGACAAGATTTTAAAATGAAAAGTAGCGTTGGATAATGATGATAAACAACATTAGTTTGTGACGTCATTCATAACATAGTGTTAAAAAATATAACAATGGATTGTTATCATTATAACATAAATTTTGTTTTACAAAAATCGACATAAGATAAATAAAAGAAATCAGATTATTCTGTCAATATAATTAGAATATTTAATTGATTTAGAAAACTTTTAAGAACAAGCAGTGTACACGTCGGACAATCAACCGTACACAATCCACAGTGTACATGTAACATTGCATAAAAAGGGATAGATAGACAAAACCGGGTGTGAGCAGAACAATGTCCTTAATGAGACGAAAAACTATATGAGAACAAAATGAATAAGTCGAAAGGTTAAAAAAATAGGCTAATGATGATGCAACAACAATAAAAGTACTTAAAAGTAAAAATACACATTTTTACACTGAGGTAACTTAACAGAAAATTTCATGGAAAAACAAGTAAAATAAGTGAATAATTGTAAATGAGATTGTGTCAGAGCAAGATCAAATAATGATGTTGATCAGTTGTTACTAATAAATATATTCTAGTCAACTAATGAATAAGATGGTTTAAAATAGAATTAAGCTTTCAGACAAAGCATTTTTATAGAACACTTGTCATGATAGATTTGTTTCATGTATAAATATATGTGTGAATAATGATAGAAATCCATCACACTCTTTAAGCAAACATAAACGGTACTAATCTCAGTAAATAAGAATACTCACATACATGTAACTCTCTCTCCCTCTCTCTCTCTCTCTCTCTCTCTCTATATATATATATATATATATATATATATATATATATATATATAATGGAGCACCAGGTAATTGTCATGAAGGACAATAAACCTTTAGGTGAAGTGAACCATTGAATAAAGAAGACAAGTCAAGCGTACATTAGAAATTTCTGAATAATTAATTGAATGATTCAACAGATAAATCAAAATATTGGTTCAAGATATTTCACGGGAAAAACTTCGAAAAAATGACAAGATAGCAATAAGTATATTTCGCCAGTATTGAGATCTTCGATGTATGGTTGTTGTTGTTGTAGCCGGATTTGTAATGGTATCATCTTCCCTGAGCCATAAAATAATAGGATCCGATGTATATACAAGCAAACAACTAGCTAACAATGTCATGGAGAAGCAAACAGCAAGTTTCCTATGCGATAAATCAAAAAGAAAAAAAAAACAGACGAAAGCGAATGAGGAAATATATAATTAGTCAAACAAATTTAAAATAGAAACGATAATCTATTGCATAAATCAATAAGGTGGAAATTGTAAACCGATAAAATTCTATAGTATGTCGAAAACAAATTCAACAACACCAGTGAGATACACAACAAGAATTGTGAAATTGATGTAGTTAGGCCCCTAAGTGCCCTGGTATGACCGAGGATGGAGAGTCTGCTCTCCCTCTCGGAATGCTCTCACATGACCACGAGTTTACAGTCACTAACAGGGAAGTCCTACTCACTGCCTTTTCGAAGCAGTTTTTTTACGAAATTGGGAGGATGAAAAGAGAATTCCGGTGCATTAACCAGGTTGGCGGACGTGGAGGGTCCACCTAGGGGGTTGAAAAACCCTCATTCCAAACCAAAGGCTCTGGGTGCGGTCCCCTAAGAAAACCAATCGCTTTGGTTTGTGCATCCGGACAGTATCATGGCCCTCATACAAATCAATGATAACTACTACTGCCCTCATAGTTACTGTGTGGAGCATATGTATTTAGTTCCCCTTTGTATCTGTTTGTGTTCAAATAAATAAATACGCCATGATGAGCTTATACGGAATCTTGTTATTATTATTATTATTATTATGATAAGATGAAAATTCGGTTACTGTTATAAAATATGAACACAAAAGACTACATAGGCGAATTATAAATCTTTGTTCCAAAATAGCGATAAAAACTATTTTCCTGTCGTATGAATTTACTGGATAAACATGACAGGTACAAACAATTGTTGACGACGGCCATTGTAAACATCGAATAACTACTTACAACACAAGAAAAGATAACTTGAACTATTTAACTAAATATGTTAATTTGTGAAAAGTGTATATGAAATAAGAATTTAGAACATTTGCGAATTGCCAAGCCAACAGAAGAGATGTATTCTGGTTAGCCGTGAAATTTCGAACAAGCATTTCCTTTTATTTGCGACTTGTTAGTTGGATATATCTAAAGTTCAGTGTTGACGTTTACACTGTTGTACAGGTTAGTAGCTATCTCTACTAGCTAGCTCCGTGGATAACGCGAAAGGTATCCGGTTTAAGTACCAGCGTGAACATCAATGCTGGGATGAAGGTATATTAATCTGAAGAGTCACAAAAGGGAAGAAACATGTATGCAGGACACACAATCCAACTGTTTTGAATTACGCTGGTATCATGAACCGATCGATAAAGGACCAATATTGAAAACCTGGATGTGTTCGAAAGCCGTCACGTTCTAGTATAGGACTCGTTGGGAGTGCGTGTCCACGAACGTACATGCAAAGGCTTGAGTTCTATACTATTGAGTCGGGATTCAGTGGTGTGAATGTTTAACTTCAGCCAATTTATGACCACTTCCCATTCCTTTTGGTAGGTAACTGTCATCCACCCGACACGGTTTAGCCCCACTAGTCACGGCTTCTCACTAAAACTCCAGGAATTTCTTCTCGAAGTTAGTCACTAGTGAACGCATGCTAGTTGCCAGTAAGAAGTTATGGACATTGTTGAATCTGATTGGAATCACGAGCTTTTACTAAATGGCAATGTTGAGGTAATCCATACACGATACACATTTCCTAACTAAGACTAGTGAAGATTTAGTCAAGAATATTAGCAACAAGATAATCCGAATCCTTTTTCACTATGATATGTTATAACAAAACCAAAATGTATTACAAATTATTAGAAATAATTCTTTAAAACAATAAAATATACCTATTTTCCGTCAGAACAGCGCCCAAATTTAAACAACGTATAAGTACTTGTAGTAGCATAGTAACTAGTGCAAAGAATGACACACATAAATCAGTTAAATAATGTAAAACTTTACGACGAACACGATCTAATTCTGTGCCATGTGATTCAAGTGAATTGGATTGATCATGAGGTTTTTCAATCATGCTTACCTATAGAAATGAAGAAATAATTGACTTTAATAATTATTTAGTAAAAATTAATTAATTTAAATTATAACTCAAATGATAATTATTATAAATAATTAAAAGGATTTAAATTGTCAATAAATTAAAATTCTTTATCTGATAAGATTTAAAAATAGTTTTTTTTTTCCAGAAATTAAACCTTAATCGTATTTTAAAGGATAGTCAAGTTTATAGATCAATTATTAATCTGAAGTTGATATGATTAGATTTTTTTTTCTTTAAAATAGTTTTCGTCACGAACTCCATTTCAGAATTAATGAGTGACTAAGGAGAATTGTAATATGTAGCTTTTATTTTTGAATCTAACATAATCCAATAATGTATACATATAGAATAGAATTTTTCACAGATAGATATGAGAAAAATGATCAAAAATTGGATAGAACTGGAAAGGAAAGCCCAAGATAGTGTGGGTTGGAGAATGCTGGTCGAAGGCTTATGCTTCATTAGGAGTAACAGACGTAAGTAAGTAATAGAATAGAATCTATAGTTTTTAAATTGAGCAACCGATAGGATATCGTATTTAGTTAATGAAAGTAATAATTTATAGTATTGTGATATAGACTGAACTATTAAGGCTATAACTTTCCACTTACAATTATTATGGAAAAATATAAATCAATGAACTGTTACAAAGTAGTTCATAAGATGTAAGAGTATACAAACTTGATTTACTTAAACTTTAAAAAAACGTGAAATCATTTGAAAAAATTTATTTTACGAAATTCAGAGTACATTAATCACACTTGCTTCAAAATATAACTGATACACATCAATAAACGTGCCATACACCCGTTTCAAAACATTCTTGTAAGTTTTAAGAAATCTGTTGTTTCACAATCGTGTAAATCAGAAATCATTTGCTAAAATCTTATACACAAACCGTTTTCACACATCAAATCAGCAGTCGAAACGCACGAAAGAATGCATAATGTTCAGTGATGTCACGAACACAGAACGTTAACAGCTCTTCCGGTTCTACATAATCTCAGAATCCCTTACGACTTGACATTGGAATGAGTTGTCTTTATATCAATGGATTAATTCCATAAATTTATACATTATACACAAAATAAAATTTTTAAAAAACAGGACAGATGCAAAAGCAGTGTTGAATGTCCATCTCATGCATCTAAAAATGGCAATTTAGTAATATCATAGGTTACTAATATTATGGTGAAAGATATAAAGTTTAAAAACTGTAATATGCAGGAAAATCATGATAATAAATGACATTTTAATGCTTCAATCACTAGGTCTGTATAACATGTAGACAATTATTTTTTTCTAAATACTATAAATAACCCATGCAGTTTGATGAATATGAAAAAATATTTTCTTGCGATAAAAGTTTAGTTGATAAATTCACTAGAAGTCAATACAAATAAATCGATAAGAGAAGACATAAATAAGTCCAAATATTGTATCCTTTTCTTTACAGTCAACTGGAGCAGGATGGATTCTAGAAGAATTCATTCAAGAATTGAAATGTAAGTTTCGCGGAACAGATGGATTGTGGTTAGAAGTGGAATTTAGAAAGCATGTTTTATTCTGTTTGAGATGCGTCAGTTAAATTCACCCACATAATGATGTTGATATTCATACCGGGTCTCAGACTCAGTAACTTTAATCGCCAAACACGCAGTAAGTACAGATAACCGCTAACTCACACAGCGGATAGACGTTTTAGACCAGTATTAGTATGTGTTTGAAATATCGCGTTGCTGACACTATGAACAGAACTCTGGTCAGTATATGCAAGTTCATATATTCTGTAAGACTTATAATATGGTTATAGCGAGGCCAATCTGAACAGGATGAGTTTATCTCAATAAACGTCGATTTAAATTCAAACCTCAATACCAACAACAAAATAATTTAAACCATACTATTAGTGTAATAGTTTTGGCTACCACTACGAAAAAATTTTATCAATTAAAGGTAACAGCTGGAAGATAAAAAAGACACTCCACACAATTTAAATAAACGATTTAATAACACCGCGTTCATTGATGAGCATAAGCCGTCAAGATAAAAAGCTTACAAACAAACCAGTTTGAAGTGAAAATAACTTTTGATCACTAAGTAATTATGGATAACACAATAGATGAATCGCTCAATTTTTGAACACACATGATCAACTCTGATCACATTCCACCACTACAGAAATCATTGTTTAAAATTACCTATCAAATTGAAAGAGCTGGTTCAAAAAGAAGATTTACACTAGAAAAACTTTGATTTAATAAAACAACATGGTTTTCATTTATATTTCACATAATTCAGAGAAGTAACAAATAAACACGAACCTTATTATTAATACTTGTAATATTATCACTTAGGTCGCGTATTTTTGTAGTCACTTGATATTCGACTGAATATAAGGAATCATGAAATTCATTACGTATAGCTGCTAATTCATGTGGTAAAGCTTGTCGAGATTCTTCAGCTATAGCATCCAATCGTTCAATACGTGAACTGGCATCAGTTAGTTTTTGATTTTGTAACTCCGCTTTTGTGGTTGCATCACGCTAAAATAAAAAAGAGAGAATGGTTGAAACTATGTGATAAAATTGTTATCATCATTATTTAAATCCTCGAAGTCTTAATGAAAACTGTGCTCAGTGGAGTTCAGTCAAGTCGGGTGGAAGGCAGTTACCCACCGAAGACAAATAAAGATGATTGTGAAATATAGCAAATTAATTACAGGTAGACGTGTACACATTTGGATGACAGCTTAGTGGTTCAGAGATAAAGCTCTCGCAGCCAGGACTGAAGGCCATGGGTTTGATCCTCAGCGGGAGGGGAGTCATGAATGTGAACCGCTGAAAAAACCCAGAGTATAACAAAACAGCTGTCCAGTGCTTCCTTGATCTTAGTGATACAAGGATGATAATGAGGGGCGAAAAAAAGCCTGTGTAGTAATTGACAACATTTGATTTCTTGTTTACTGTTCGATCGAGAGAGCCATCAAAACCTAGCTAACAGTTTGACATACTATAATTTCCAGAAAATGGATTCTATCTAGTCGAGTCATGTTCACTTGTGAATCGCACAAGCACATCCACTAAGCTACTGAGTCTAGATAGCTATTAAATTGTCTTTTGGGTACGAAAGGTTTGAATTTTTCTGTTGTGAATACTAAAAACTAAGAGGATTACATTGATAGTACCTTTAATTACACGTTCTTTTAAGCATAAACTGGATATACAGTTTTTTTTACCTTTTCCTATAAATTCATTTTTACTAGTGAACAATGAAACATATAATTTAAGAAAATCATTGAAATCAACAACCACACAATAAAAATATATATGCAATAATATTGGTTACATCGTTTCTATTAGAAGGAGTTAAAAATAAATAAATAAATATGAAAAGAAGGAAAATAATAATATTTATTTATGTTAAGTACCGAAAAGCACATTGATGTGTACATATTAATGCAGGTGATAATGTCATGCACCCATGTGTGTATATATGTGTGTGCAAATATACATAAATGGGAAAGGAAACAGTCAATCCAAGAAATATAACAAATATGAAGGTAACGTTTATTGTTTTTGTATTTTTGTGAGGAGAAAAACAAACTAAGTAATCTATCTTCACATTCCTTCACATTTTTGTGTTACACAAATAAAATATCCAACAACAATAACAGTGACCTTGACAGTTAGGCATGAAACAATCATTTATGGATTCAAGAAGAAAGTGATATAATGAGTCAGCATCTTATTATAAGATACGCAGTATATCTTAGATGCTGGCCATCTGTATATTTAATAATCTCTTCTTAAGTTATTTCTGTACAATGATAATCAGTCCAAGAATTGAAAAATCAAGTAATAAGCTATTAAGACAATTGGAATTTTATATGACAAGACTGATATTTTTAGCAGATTATAAAACAGTAAACAATGACGTAGACATTGGTGGGAGCTTTTTCCAGATATTCGTCATTTAGGCAGGTGATAGCAAGACAAGTGAAGTAAAGTACTTTAAATGCTCCAGACTGTCAAAATCTATTCTTAAAATAAATATCCATTCAGTACATTATTTTGATCCATCGATATGACAATAAAGATGTAAAGACAGCGTAGGATACCTTATTTTAAAAAGAGCAACTGTCGATGAATAATTATAATGATTATTCTAAAACAATCATAAGGAATGAAACCAGCTATAAATAGAAGTATGTTTACTTATTTTACTATCTAAATCAATTAAAATATACTACCAATAGCAGTAGTAATAAAATTGATACGAAAAATGCCACAAGAATATTTCGATCATTAATTGACAAAATATCTAACAATCAGTAGGCAAGTAATGTCGAAAAATGATGTCACCTGAACAATAAAACAAGATAAATAAACAAAAGCACAATTTATAATAATGACAATGATAATAAACGGCCAAATAACATTGGTAAAACTGATAACAAATGTAAACTAACTCGAATAGCTTCTAATTCTGTTGTTAAATTATTCAGTGTAGACTGGATACTAAGTGTTTCACTATGCATAACAGACAATTCATCACGAAGTTCTTGAAATATTTGTGATTGTTGATTAGTTAGAGAGGCAAATTGGCATTCTTGACGACGATAAAGATAAGCAAATGCAAGTGCCAAATTATGTGGTGAAATATTCATTATTGAATTACCTAAGTGGCCAGTACTTCCAGCAGCAACACCACCACTTAAACTCCCAGTAACAATACCACTACCATGAGGAGTACTGAGTGATTCTGGTGAGATAACATTCGCTCCACTTATATGACTTTTAGATCCAGCTTTAGTTTTATCCAACGCGCCTAATCCTGAAGCAGACAATGCAGATGAACCTGAAGAACCAACACCAGGTACATTATTATTACCAATGGAGGTTAGATTTTGACTACTGAACACTTGATTTGGTGATACACCAAGAAATTCAAATATTCGTGCCAGTGTATTATCTCCACCATCGGACCATGAAAATGCACCAGTGTTAGAAGTGACAGCAACAGATGGATCTATACTGGGACATGTATCATCTTTTGATGTACTAATTATACCACTTAGACCGCTAATCATACTACGTCCACCAGCGTCATATCCACCACAACTGATAGGGTTAAGTCCATTAGTAGAAGGTAATGAACCAGTTCGAAGTGGTTGAGAACTACTGCTGGCTACATTCTCAGGTAGGAATATACTAGATGAATCAGGCTAAAAAAGGAAAATATAAAAAGAAAACCGATGAGCGAGTTGAACATAAAAATATTTACACAGTATTTTCTATTCAACATGAATAATTCAAGTAAACAATAATTTAAAGATGAGTTTAAGGGAAACTGAACCCATTTATTAAGTAGCTTTAGAAAGCGATGGCATCAGCTGTCCGCTATAGAAAACTAGACGGGAATGGTCAACTATGAGTACTAGTATAAGACTTCTCAGCTGGCGGTTTGACAATCGCTATTGATAAAGTACAAAAATTACATTTGAAAAGGATAAGAAAACAGGTGACTGAAATAATTGTATTTCGATAGAGCGATTAGAAGACAAAGTTGATCTAATTGCTCTATTTAGATTTATAAAAGGGACTAATTGCTTTAAATAACTGTAATTCTTATGTTATTGTTTTTAAGTGTTTAAACTGCATAGTAAAATTTCAAAAATCACGAATAATTTACTTATCTCTGTGATTGAGTTGTTATCAATAAAACAGAGAACTCAAGATTTTCTGTTAATTCTAGTTGATACAAAAAGAGGATGAAAATTCCGTTATTTGTTGAAATTCAAATAGATAGTAAAACAATACCGGGGGTAATTAAGATGCAAAGTTACTGACAGAATTCCAGTTAGCGTGAATAAATGATTGACTTTGTACAATAATAGTAGTAACGTTTCATAACTTGAACTATCATGTTTAAATTGTGTAGTATAATTAACAAGTGGGAATAACGATAATCGTAAAAGTTATGAGATAATATTAAGTGGTTAAGATTAGTAGGCAGGAAATCTATACATTTCATGTTAGTAGTCTCGTCATAGCAAGGGGTACCTGAAATCTTCAGGAAACTGATGTTGGCTGGTAGATCCGGACCTAGGTCATCCAGTTTTAAAGAACGACGTTTGTACTGAGCTATGCTAGATGCGACTCGCCTGTAAGTTTAAGCTACTAACATTGACTCGCGGGACAACCTCCTTTTTATGTAATCTTTGATATTGGCTACAGTTCAACTTGATCTATAGAATTCGATCAGCCCTACAGAGCAGATAAGCATAATATTAGTCACTACTTAGAGATCGGTCATTGTAGTTACAAAACAAAAAGATGAGGAAAATCAGTAAGAAATTGGCTAAACAAATGAGATCGTTTTGCTATTTTTTCTGTATGATAAAAAGATCATAGTAACAATAAGCATCAATTAGTTCAGTGGACCTATCAAGTTTCCCATATCAAGCCTTCACACCATAACTATTGTGTAGCACCTAAAATAGCAGTTTGTCTATCAAATACGTGAACAGACAAAGTATCGTTCAATGTATTTAATTATGAAAAACTGATACAAATTATGGTTAGAGAAATCATTATATTATTCGTTAATAGGTAAAATGAAATGGCGGAATAAATGAAATATATTCACGATTATTAAGATAGATGAATGCTAGATAAACATAAGGATGTACAAACTAACAAATCAATTATTCTCTGGATCTAAATCAGACAATTATAAATTTATGTAAGTGATTTATAATAGCCATTGATTATTTTTGAGAATAGACCTAACCTACTCTGAACATTGATCCGTGTTACACCTACAAGACCTGTTTAAAAAATCCACTAGCAAGTATGTATGTATGTGTTTAGTGTATATGCATGAATGTGTATATAGATGAATTAACGGTAAGAAGATCAAAAGTAAGGGATTCTATTTTGAATTTAGAGATGAATTCCTCGATACATTTAATTTGGGATTTTGTGAGGTTGTTGATTTTTTGACGGTGGTATTTTACATAAACGTACACCTTTAAAGATTTGGTGAGGGAAGCAGCCATCATTCTAGCAGTGTTCAAAAACTTTATTCTTGTTGTTTCTCTCGATGTTCTGAAACGAATTGATATCAAACAATTGAATGACTTGAAAACATGAGGCGAATCATCAGGAATCTCACGCAATCGGTGCTCTATATGAATCGGAATAAAGCCCAAACAACCATCGAGTAAGCACTCAATGATAAAGACTTTACCGCGGAACATGATGTAAAAGGTAAATTTAGACGGCGCACTTAAGGACACATCCAGCGCAAAAATAGAGTGGGGTTTATCTGAATCACAAAAGTTTCTGTTCAATGAGTTACAAATAAAGAAATTGTATGGACTTTTTTACCGCGCTCGTAAACTTTGCTCAAGGGAAAGTCTGGAAGAAGAACTTGCCTTCATTAAAACCTGGCTTAAGTGAAAAGGTATATAAGGTGGAATTCATCGATAAGTAAGCCAAAACCAAACAGCGGAAAAAAACTTTATTAAATCTGCCTTTCAAAGGAGATGGAATCACTGAAATAATCAAACACAAGATAAATGAAGTGATAAAGGTTACTTATGCATCAGCGCGAACGATGACGTTATGTGAAACTCTTCACCCAAACAAAAACTGACATTATTATGAGCACAGAGAGATTGTGGGTAGCAGCGGAATCTAGAACGCATGTTTGGCTCTATTTGGAACTTGTTGGCTTTGTAACTGTATCCCAGAGTTGATAATCACTCCCACACGCAAATCCGATACCGTTCGCTTCGAACGCTGGATGATGCAATACTCATCATATTCAGTACTTGTAAAACTTTTGATAAATTTAACTACTTTGAAATAACACTATTCCATTTGTAGATTTCTTAGAATAGTTGAATTCATGAGCCAATGTAAGCTAGACAACCACTGAAAACAATCGTTTCGTCCTCTTATAAAACTCCTTAGCAGCGCGCATCCACGATCGCGTATGCGGAACAGATGGTCTCGCAAGCGATTGCTAAGCCTCAAGACCACTGGGTCGGCATCCAGCGGTGCTAATGTCTGGCTTCAATCGACTCATGCTGTCCGAAGAACGAATCGACAGAAAATTTCACTTCAAGTAGCTTTTCGGCGAGACTATAATTTATAAACGAACCATGATCTTGTGCAACTCTTTATCCATTGTCTGAGGTGGATACCTGTCTCAAACCCGACACAGATCGGACTCCACTAATCACGCCGGCGAGACTATAATTTATGGACGAACCAATCAGATTCACTCATTTATTTGGCTACATAGAGTCTTGGCATTATAGCTGATGTCAGTTCGTGATGAAAACTCTAAGTCTAATTCCTAACTCCAACCATCAACCGTAAATCATAATTCTAATTCATCACGCTGGTTTATAACCCTGGTCCTGGTTATTGGGTGGACACTCTCAAGGTCAATTTGGCATCACTCAAAGGTCGTCCATAAATTATAGTCTCACCCTTTTCCTCATGACTCTACAATTTAATATATATATATATATATATATATATATATATATATATATATATATATATATACTAACGCCTGTCAACCCTCGTGGAGAAGCATAGGCCGCCAAACAGTATTGTTCATCCAACTCTGTCCTGGACAATTCTATTGGTATTCATTCTTTTCATATCTGTTTCATAATCACGACGTACTGTGTTTTTCGTTCTTCCTTTTTTTCAGTTTCCCTTCAGGATTCCAAGTTATGTATGTTCTATCTACTTCCAACGTATTTTATTGATTTCCTCCTCAATCAAAAGCTGGTTTGTTCTCTTCCATAGTACGTTTTTGCTGGTTTCCGGCCAACAGACATTGAGTATCTTGAGTAAACAATTGTTTACAAATACTTGAACATTTTCGACCATGGTTATGATAGTGTCCCATGTTTCAGTTCAGTACAATAGAACTGTCTTGACGTTCGTATTGAAGATTGTGAATTTAATATTAGCTAGTAGACAGTTGTTTTGAGTTCGAGATGTTCTTCAGTTGTAGGAATGCTGTCCTTACTTTGCCAATCCTCGCATTTACATCTGCATCGGATCCTCCTTGTTCATTGATGATGCTCAACATATCATGTTTGTGAATGTTTCCACCTGTCCCAGAGTTTCTCCATCAAGTGTGGTTGATGTTCTCTATGTAGAATTTGAGGATCTTGCTTCTTCCCTTGTTTATATTGAAACCTACTGATGCAGAGGCTGTTGCTACACTGGTTGCCTTAACCGGCATTTGTCGATGTGTATGGGATAGAAGGGCCAGATCATCTGCGAATTCTAAATCCTCTAGTTGGTTCCAAGCAGTTCATTGTATTACGTACTTTCTCTAATATATTGAGGTCTTCATAACCTGTTGATCTGGAAACTGAGCGTCCAGCAACACTGTCGAAAACTGTTCCTGGTACTCACAATAGTGTGATACCTTTGTAGTTCTTACACTTGCTTAGATCTATATTCTTTGCCATCTTGATGATATATCCTTCTTTCCAATCTAGCGGCACTACTTCTGCCCCCTCAAATTTTCCTGTGTAGTACGCGGAGCATGTTTGCTTCTATGTGTGACTTTAGTGCTTCGGCTGTTATATTTTCAGGTCCTACTACTCTCCCACTTTTATCTATCTGATGGCCTTTCTGATTTTTAGGATCGTTCGTGGAGTGACATCTACAGGAATGTCTGTAGGTGTTGTTTCCAGTGGAGCTGCTCTATTCAAGAGTTCCTTAAAGTGTTTCACCCATCTGTTCATCTGTCCCTGAATCTCGGTGATAGGCTTACCATATTTGTCCTTGGCTTGTCACTCTGGTTTACTATATTGCCCCGTTAGTTTCTTCGTTATGTCATACAGTTGTTTCATATTTGTTTCTGATGCAACTTTTTCGGTTGTAGTTGCTAGGACTTTCACATATTTCTGCTTTTCAGCTCTAACGATCCTCTTCACTTGCTTGTTTGCGTCAGTGTATTCTGCTTGTTCTAATTTTCTCGGTAATTGTTCGACTGTTGTTTATTGCCGTCTTCTTGTTCTTTCATTCTTGAATCTTGTCTGGGGTTTCCATAGAGATCCATTCCTTATGATGATGTTACTTGCGACCCAGCACCTCCTGACATGTCGAAGTTAACGCTTCTTTGATCCCTTTCTAGTTATCCTCCTTCGTAGTTTCATCTTCTTTCAGTAGATCCTGTAAGGCTAGGATCCTACTGTTGAGAGTTATAATAATAATAATAATTATAATTATATTCTGAAAAAATAATAATTACAGAATTCACGCCAGTTTACAGGCATGATCAATTCGGTATAAATATCATTATATGTACAGAACAAACATGTGACAGGAGTTTTAAGGTTACTAGTTCAGTAATTGTTTAGGTACTACAGCGATCCAATGCATCAGCCTGGAACATTTAGTATTTCTTAACTGGTCAGCCTGTTGATTTATGAACGGTATAATTAAGGTCATTTCGTGTGCCAGATCGAAATAATGTTGAATTGGTTGAGTTTGTTAGTATCTCGAAGGAAGGTTGTATTGAACTATTGTACTGCTGTTTCCTCAGCTGTCCAGTGTTTCTTTAGCTTCAGTTTCATCTTGGCAACCACCAGGTTGTAATCTTAAGCTATGTTAGCACCTGTCCCGGTTCTCATGTTTCCCATTGTTCTTCTGAATTTTTTATTGATATAAATATGATATACCTGGTGTGATACGGCGGGATCCAAGTTGCTATGTGTGGGTATATTGTGCTGCCTATAACTGCATAACTTTCCAAATCTCTTCCCGTTTTCGTTTGACGATCCCGTATCCGTGAGATTCCTATCTTGTAAATGCATTTCGTGCAACTTTGGACAGGATCAGAGCAACCACCTGAGTGTGGGGAGCGCATCATGTCAGAGTACTAGGTTATATAAATGTTATCTAATTGTCAAGATTGATTGGTTTATTTACACTGCTAGGCTGACTCTGCAACTTGATGAATGTTATATAAATAAGAGAAACACTATAAACTTATTTTGATCATAGGATTATTTTTTATGATGCACTTTATTTCGATTTTAGTTAGGGACGATGATTAGTTATTTAAACGAAGCCCAAGGTTAAAGAATATGATACTTGATAAAAACTACGAGAATATTGAATGTAAGAAAATTTCACTGGCAACCAGAGCGATAATGTCAATTTAACAATGCTTTTAGCAATCATGACTTGTAGTACATGCACGACTCAGGTTTACAAATAATATCACTTATAAACCAACGAATTTACCTGCCAGTCATATTTTTTAGAATTTGATTAGTTGAAAGTAATGAACTACTGTCATTACATTCCATAGTCATTTCAGCTATTTGAAAATAAACAATAACACTAATAGTAGTTATGTATACACATATTCATTATAACACAAACAAGTAATATTAATAGATTAGGTGAAAGAAAAATACTGGATATGCGAAGTAATTCAGTTGAGTTAAATCTATTGAACAGTATAGGCAAGTAATAGAATAACTAAATATGTTGAAGTTTAGGATTGTCTTATTTAGAAGACGAAAAGTACGAGGTTGACAAAATCTCAGTATTCACCTTCATATACGAAGTATTATTGAGACATTTGAAGTGCGTGTGTGAGAGATAGGGTATTTCTTTAATAAACACCAAAACCAATATCAATAAAACTATTTTTGCAAGGCTTGTGCAAAAAAGGATGTTGTTTACCAGCTTTTTCCCAAGTACTTTACCTACTGTTATCATGATAATAATTATTCTCGCCACCGTTATATCAGATCAATGTAAAGATTATATTCTATTAAATTTATGTTGTTATTACGATCAATCACATTTTCAATATTTTAATGGTTTATCGATGATTCAACAATTTCATTCTTCAAACAAAACTAATATTGTTCTGAACTAAGCACAAAGATAAATAAGTTTTAAGTAAATTATAATGATCACGAAATTAAATGAACAATGTTTCTGAATGTTATCATCACTTGATTGCTTAGACTTAAGCAAATGAATTATAGCACAGATCCTTTGAAATACAAGAAGCTGAAATCAATAAGCAAATGAATCACCACCGAAAGTTTCGTGAAAACTTTTATCATAAACACAACACAAGGTCAATCATTAACCAACAGTCATATAATTGCAGTAAGTGTTCTATTCTTTTCGTTGAGATTTACATGTATAAGGTGGTCGGTTTTATTAACATGAATATTAAGAATGCACAGACACACACACATACATAAGCAAAACACTGAAATACAATTAGATGACACGTGAGTTAACTATATGTTAAATTAATTGAAACGTATCACTGACTATTATGTTAGCAATTATACACATAAACAATCAATTATAGTTATATAAGCCAACAGTGAAAACGATTAACCAATTTTTTTATTTTAAGAAAAACTTGACAGAACATAAAATCAAAACGAAATCTAGATAAAAGACTTATGAAACTTTAGACGATTAAATTATATTCAATGTATCTCAGTTTTCACTAAAATCATAAGTTTTTATGTGTAATGTTAATATTGAAAATTTTTTGTTGACTAATTTCGAAATATTAACAGTCTGTTTCATTTAGCTCAAGTTTACAAATAGGATAGGAAGTCAGAGAGGCAACTAATTAGTAGAGTATGCTAAGAAGAACAATAGAGTGATTGTTACTGTTCTATATATCAAACTACAAACTATGATTATAGGACGTTAGGTTGCTGGTAACAGTCAGATAAATTTGCTGGAAAAAGTTGTTCAGATTACTAGTGCTGAAACAGATTTCGACTCTATTACTTCAACATGTGTATATTTAGATTTCAAATATCTTAACAACACGAATTGAAAACACCTTCTTTGGTGAATTGATTTAACGTTAGATAATGTTGTACTCAAAAATATACATTTGGATTAATCCTGTTAACAAGATGTTATGGTAAAATTTATGGGGGACTGAAAAGAACTTGACTGTTTAACAATCATATCCCTGATTTTCTTGTTACATTCGACATGTAATTGACCAGTAAAAACGTATAGTGAATATACAAGAAGTTATGAACCAAACATACTGATATTTCCATAAATCGAAACTTCGTAGACATAATGTCCAATCAAATTGGAATATATATATGATGAAAGTTTTCCTTAAAAAATTCATCAAATTGTCAAAGACAGTAAACATTAAAAGTGAAATTGTCTTACAAATACCATAAAGAATGTACATTTAACTAAACAATGTAAATATTTAACTCAGAGTCATCTGGAATAAAATGTAAAAAATTCGAAGAAATATAAATTTCAGAAAGAAATAATCGATCACTTCTTACTTATAGTGTAGTTACAAATAAATTAATTACCATTTAATTAACTCACAAATTATTCATATTAATTATAAATAAAACAATGACAGTAATTAATTGAAAACAATTAATTGGTCAAATAGGGACAATTTTATCATCAAAAATAAATTCATTCATTTAAATAATTAATTATCAGGATAAAAATGAAATTCTAAAAAACAAAAATCAGCTTCAAAACGTTCATCAGTATAATTTATTGATATTAATATTCGTTGAACTGAATAAAATATAGAAATAACAGTTCTACTGATACTGACGAAAACGACTTTTCGTAGATATACTAGGAATAAAGCATGAAAATCAATTAATAGGTAATAAAAATATTTCATGATACTATTGACAGATAACTACTACTAAATCAGATCACAGATAGGCTAAAGTTTAAAAACAATTGTAGATCATTTGATTAGAACTTAATGTTATGAAGATGTATCTGTATATTGAAAATATTAAGCTTGATTAGTAAAATGATTAATAGTGTGCACCTTAGATGAAGTGATAAACTCGGGTGATCCTAAACTGAACGAAAATAACTAGAAAACTAGTGGGTTATCTCTTTCTCGGCAAAAAGATTTTGAGATTATATATATATATATATATATATATATATATATATATATATTATGCAAACGAAAGTACGGAAGAGCTACTGAAATTACGACTTTGTAATATTATGAGCTGTCAATAAAGAGAAACAATTAAAGCAGTTTGATAAACACAAAGAAACCTATAAAAAGCTGAATTCCACATTGCCCTGAATTATAGTTTACAATAAAATGCAATGTTATTTGAGAACGTTTTCGAAAAATCTCTCTCTATGCTCTGTTAAATAGAAATTTAAATCTTAGTAGTGAATAGATGTAGACGGCATACGAAACTGTTGATAAATTAAGCTTATAGAAACGTCAACAAAACAGTAATATATTGGTTAATATATAATATTTTAAATATACTGAGTATATACTGAGTACAACCAGTAACCGAAAGTTGAAAGATAGTAATTGGAACGACATGGGTTACTTCTCAAATAAAAGCCAAAACAATAAAGGGAGAAAATATTTTACGTTGAAAGAATCATTATTCGAATGAATTATTTTAGTGCGACTAATGTCTTTTAAAACAGATGGATTGTGGCTAGCAGTGGAATATATAAAACCTATGTTTCGTGCCAATGGGAGTTGTCAGGTGAATTTATTTTGATGTTGACATTCACAATGCGACTCAGACCCAATACTATTCTCTCCGAAAATCAAGGCATTATCCACTGAGCTACGGAGACCCGATAGCCACTAACTTCTTCAACAGGTACGTTTACGTTAACATTAGAAAGAGTTTCAACTGCCCCATTGTTGATACTCAGGAATGAATTGGATTTTTCACAAATATTTCATTTTCTCTCTACAAATTCGTAAAGCCTAAATACTGTTAATCGCTCTAGGTATTCAATTTACCATTGAAAACAATAACTTACAGGATACAACAAATTGGATGTAGTCAAATGGCCTTTTGTAATTTTCTTATGTTTTTTTCTATCGCTACAATAAAAATAAAATTTAGATACATCCTTGAGAATACATTCGATAAACAAGATAGTACGCTATTATGAAATAATTACTATGAATACAAAACTGCCAGAACTATGAAATAATTAGATTCTCTGAACAAAACACAAAGAGGTACATCATATGTTAGTTAAACATCCTAAATATTTAAAACAATGAAGAAAGATTGACAGTAGAATCAAATCTCTACTGCATTAGTATACAGTAATTAGGAAGGTATTTTTTCCCAGTCGCTTTCTACTATAAGCGGACACCTATTGGATAAACTTCGAATCTTCTTTTAGTTGAATATCTAAACCTTAAAATTACTACATTAAACTTTAAGTAGATTTTAGTTTAGAAAACAAAATTCTATTTTTATAAATAAATAATATATTTGTAATATCCCAATGAGTAGAAATATTAGATTTTCTGACGTTTCGTGACTTAGTGTAAACCAATTCTTCAGAGGATAAATAACAAACTTAAAATTAATCCAAGTTTGAATAGTACAACGGAACAAAAATTCTATTTTATTTTCAATAATGAAAGCAGTATACCTTCACATTAACGTTTAAATTTAGGGAAATTATTTAATATTGTTTAAATTCAGTTTAAACATCAATGTAATTGAGAATTATATACAATTAATAAGAGTAAAGTTGTACAGAATGATGCGGTAATCAGCAAAATGGAAAACAAGTTCAAGGAGATCAAGTCTATATATATATATATATATATATATATATATATATATATATATATATATATATATATATATATATATATCGTGAATGGATTTTCTGTACGTTAACTCTTAGGGAAACATGAAATAAGTCAATATAAATTTTTCCCTTTACCTCCTAGATATGTTTCAGTACTATTCACTCTTCCAGTTTTTCACGTGTTTCCGTTAATTAAATAACTTTAATTGTTTTTTTAATTTCTCAATATTGTGTTGTTAGCAAGAGAAACGAAAACTTATTTTAACAAAAATGCTTACAAGTAAATCAGTCAATTTACGTAAGTCACATTATATGAAAGCATTTAAGGAATCATAGGTGGAGTAACAAGTCAGCTGGTAGAAAGTGTACTTTTAGAACTCAAAACAAAAGCTTGATATAAAATTTACAATGCTATAGGAGAGAAACTGTAGAATAATGTTTTAATCAGTAAAAAATACAGATAATCCATTGATGAAATATTTTTTTTAAAATCAGGAGAAAAACTGTAGTAAGTTTTTGGATTATGAGTTAAATGCTATTACAGAATTATAACTCCATTTATAGTTGGATACAATGAATTTATATGTTATTGTGTAACTAAGAGACTAGTTAAAGAAGGAATAACAATAGTGTTTTGCTTTACTGACGTGAACAGTCGTAAATTTAATACGCTTAGTAAAATTGTCATGTGTTACATGGTCATTATCCATCAGACGGGAAGGTCTGGAATGAACTGGAACTTAGCGCGGATGAAACAACCTACTCTCCAAAACTCCAAGAGATCAGAAGTAGTATTCTGTTCACGGGAATAACTGGGTTTTTAAAAAAAAAAACGCAAGCTCATAATATTATCTTGCTGTACAATGAAATACAAACCACTCACACCACGCTCAGTGAATAAGTGATCAGTTTTCGAAAGTACAATACAAAGCTCATGGGAGAGAAATATTTATCCGACTGATTGATTCCTTTTCTTACACTTATTCCGGTGCTGACTAGTTGAATACTGATAAGAAGTACGTGTATCTGAGTAACTAAGTGATGTTCGTGAAGAGGAAACAAACCAAGTTATAGTGAAAATATCCATTTAGAAATTCGGTAAATAAAGAAGGAACAAATCAAGCGAAGAATTTTTTTCAACTAGTTTTTCGTCATGGCTCTACACTAATATATATATATATATATATATATATATATATATATATATATATATATATATATATATATATATACAGAAGGCTCGACTAGCTTTCACCAACTTGAGTCATTTATGGCGTAGGCGAGATATCCATCTACCAACCAAAGAACGGGTTTACTGCGCAGAAATTCGTCCCGTCCTACTTTATGGCAGTAAAACATAGGCGGTAAGAGTACAGGATATTCGTAGGTTACTAGCATTCGGTCATAGGTGTCTTCGAAGCATTGCTTGTATATCCCGGTACGACAGAGTAAGTAACTCAGTTATTAGGAAACGTGTACTAGTTAAGGATGGAAAATCAATTGATCAAGTAGTGAAACTTCGTCATTTAAGGTGGTTGGGACATGTGTTAACTATGCCCAACCACCGACTGCCTCGACGAGCGATGTTTCATGGTGTAGGAGTAGGTTGGGAAAAAGCTGGGGGCGGCCAGACCAAAACATGGTTTAAATCCATGAAGTCACTGACAAGCGAAGTGAGTCATGTTGGTAGGTGTAGACTATCTGGTTGGGGTCCGCGAGACGATAGCAACTGATGGTTAGAGACGTTGAATGAGATTGTTTAAAATCGTTTGTAATGACACATGTGCATCTACTCTTTGTGTTCTCCCAAATTCTAATCTTCCGAATTCTTCATGTCCGTTTTTTCTCTTTCCAAATTTATTCTGTTGGATTATACTCCTTGAATAACATCTTCAAACCCTAATCTTTCCGATTACTGCTTATACTTTTACTACCTCTACCACTATGGGATTTGAATCGACAACTGTATCTCTGTGCTAATGTGGTATGGCAACTCAAACTGATTTACGTACACACGAAGTTTTACGTTGTTGCTGACTAACTGACTGACTGAGCAAACAATAAAATTTCTATCAGTGAGGTAGTCTAGCATAGTACATTATTGCATATTCTAAATTGTCTTCAGATTATGAAATCGTGTGCATTTCAAGAGGTTTATGATTGAATCCTCTGGGCACAGTGCAATAATTAAGTTCATCATGGATGAAAAAGTATATCCTCAAATTTGAACAGTCAGATGTTAAGAATCATTTCATTATGTGTCTTGTATTATACAGAACTTAAAGATCATTTATTTAAGCATAGCAGGATGTTACTCTATAAATTATCCTGATTCAAGAAAAAAAAAACAGAGCTGTTGGTAATTACCCTACTTTAACGCATGTACTTGTTCATACATGAATTATCTTCATCCTATCACGAATTTCTTATTCATCATTAAATGTAGAATTGAAATTTGAAAATTTCTCTTACATAGAATATTCACAATCCGATTAATTGTTTAAAGAAATGGTACATAAGCAAACTATTCGCCACTTCATCATCATCATCATCATCATCATCAGCTGCAACGTAGGACCAGGCACGTATATGCATCGGTCCAAGTTGCCATACCGCATTAGCACAACAAGATCAACACCGGATTCATAAAAGTAGTCAATTCAGTGGTGGTAATATATAGAAGAAAGATCGCATATAAGGACATAGTACAGGAAGAAAGAATTAGTTCCTAGAAAGAAAGATATGAAGCGATTTTAATCTCTTAGTTTAAGGGAAGACAAAGAGTGTATACACCGACGCTATTGTGATCGATTCTGAGCCATGTCACCAAGAGTCTCCAATCATTGGTTACGATAGTCACGCGGACCCCAACCAGGCAGTCTGCATCTACCAACATGGCTCAGACCAGAAGTTAGTGACTTCAAGCACTGATGCCACGTTTTGGTTTGGCCGCCCCTAACTTTCTTCCAATCATCCATAACACCGGTTAGCATTGCGCGTCGTGGTAATCGGTGTTCAGGCATACGCAACACGTGGCCTAACCATCTCAGTCGATGAAGACTCATAACCTTATCAACTGATTTACCATCATTCCCTAATACCCTGCGTCTAACCTCACTATTACTTACCAGGTGGTCCCAGCAGATGCGAGTAATATTTCTAAGGCACCTGTGGTCAAACACTAGTAACTTACGAATATCTTCTACTCTTAAAGGCCATGTTTCGCAGCCGTATAATAGAACGGAACGAACTACCGCGCAGTATACTCATCCCTTAATTGATAGACCGGAGACACAGCATACATCAATCGTACGAGATTCTAAGGTTTTATCCAAGTAAGCCTGCTGACCGATTTGGCATAGTGTGCGTACGTTGAAGGCTCCGATGTGTGGTTTGGAGCGAGGTTTCAGTAGACCTGGGACAGTCTTTTGAGCACTAGAATCGTTGGCTGTAGTGACACTTGAGGAGGAAGCCGAAAGAGGGAGTTTAGATTTGAAAGTCGATGTAAGAGGAATAATAGGAATTGAAGAGGGAGGTCTTGAGTGCTGTTAGAGGTATGAGGGCGGTTATCACTTCCCGGTTGCCCACACCGTGGAAGAGTTCTGCTGGAGGTACCTGAAAGGGGAATTGGATTAGAGGTGGTCATAGTGACCTGAGAGCGTGACCGCAGTGCCCAAGGGACAGCTGCTTGAGGTCGGTCAAATACGACCTTTTTATGAGTAATTTTTGTGTTAGCTCCGTACTTGTTGAGACCTTACCGCCGGAGACGGATATCCGTGCGATAAGGCGAGGTGTGCATTTTTAGGATTGACCTTTACTAACCCCTCCCCTCCTTGTGGGAAGGCAGCATCGCTGTCATGCTGGTTGTCTGAAGGAAACACCTTACTGCTGTCACACCTCTGTACAGTCAGCAGTACAACTTCGCCTTCGGACCTTGGTTTTGTTGCTTTTAGTCTTACCGCTCTTCAACCGACCTGTCTGGCATGGTAGGACCTTGAGGAACGGTTGTTCCAGCCAGTATAGCTCAGTTGCTTCATCACGATAGGCAAGCCCGACCACCACGTCAAGGTAGCAACAACGGTTAGGATTCGCCACTTGAATTCAATAAATAGTACTAATGTAGAGTGCATATTAACTAAAAGTTCTTTTAATACAGTAATAATAATGTATGAAATATAAATTGTGAGAGAAAAAACTTACTTAGGTGTAAAGAATGAGTAGCCGACAGGACGTGAAGAACTCTTCTTACGATATCCAGTATCATCATCTGGAGAAAATAGTACACAACGAATTTCAGTATATAAAAGTGTTGTTTGGAATAATTGGTAATTATTAAAATAATTCGATAAATTATATGTAAAATTAAGTTATCAGATGTAAATATTATATTTGGAATAATCTAAAACTTAAGTAATTTCAGTATTTCACCGGGCAAACCAATCCGAACTACTTTAGGGACCCAGTTAGGCAAAACGTAGGAATTGATTAAATGTCAAAAAGTGAGATTATTTTAAATATAATATTACATAGATTGTCTCCTATACACTTTGTGCCAAACTGATCGTTTAAATTTCGACATGATATGCGCTTGAGCAACCAAGTACTTTTAAACTAAGAATGTAAGTCTAAATGTTGTAATGTGGAGACATGGTGAGTACTTGATTGGATAGATGAATTCCTTCATTCGATTTGTGCTATTCTTTTGCGTGAAAGTAAACCGATTAGATTAAATAACATTTAAAAAGAATAAAATAATGGTAATAGTATATGTTTACTACAGGGATCTAAGTTTGGACCTTTTTCTGTAGTAGAATTTGTCGACCTAAACTGAATCCCAAAGATTGTATTTAATGTCCACTTGGTTTACAACAATATATTTCATTAACACAAAACTACTGAATACAGAAAATGAAGTTTAATTACATGGTCCCGATATATAAGAGAGTTAAATTAATTGTATAGTGGACAATTCTATCAACTGGTTGCTAATATCCTGAAAAATGCAATGACATTCAACACTATAACACAATGGTTGAATTATAAGCGCCTAAATCACTTTAGCCACGGTTCTAAAAATATATGCGCATATATAGTAGTAACGCATTTTGTTATCCCTTTGTCAAGTTCACCATCCTATTTTACATCAACCGTAGCTAAATAAACTGGAAATTGGTGTATGTGGACGATTCAGCAAGCACAGGAATTCAGGTAAGCAAAGAATGTTTCATTTTACAAATTGAACAACAAGAAGTTTTATTTTTATTTCTTCGTATAATGATAACTAATTAGGGATTGTAAAATAATCCCCAACTAGCTCCTTCTGAGTCCTTACACTTAAAACAGTCAGGCAACAACTTTTCATGATATAGGAGGTTAATACAATCACTTTTGACAATGTTTCTGAAATGGTTGGACTCTGAATTTCCCTGTATAGTAGTAAACTCTGGTAACTAGGAATGTTTGTCAACAATTCTATCCACTATAGTACTAATTTCAGTTCACTTTAGTTCAATTCTTTTCTTGTATTCTACACACTTAAAAATATTTCAGAACTGAATTATGGCCAGAACCGATGATCACGCGAAAATTGTGGCATTATAATGAGCACATAGTGTTACAAAGTGATTTAAATGGGCTGTGCTTTATGGAAACTATAACCTTCGTATAACCAATCACACAAAGGAGTATCTTTTACCAATAAATAACTTAACGACGGTGAGATAACGACTGAGTACAGTACTTAACGCCCATTGGTTCAAAATGTAGCCATCCGCTCTCTCTTCCTGAAATACAGCACAGAAAAAGAGTATAACAGGCAAATAAACTCCTACTGTACAGTTCAGATCATAACTCAAAACTCGTGTAATAGGATGGACAAATTACCTAACTAAACAGCAGTATACATAAAAAAACAATGCAACCACGACTATATAGATGAATAGACCCGTAATATATTAATAGTAACGTAAGGAAGGTACAACACAACAGCATCTAATGAATCACGCATAACTTAAAGGTAAAGAAATGTAAAGATGCAATAATCCAAGCGCTTGGTGGCGATACAGTAAAAGTATAAGTATCATGAAAATCTACAATATGACATAAAGTTTATGGGAGAAACTAGACATGTACAGCGTGAATCAATTTTATTCTAATTCTGCATGATGCAGGAAACCAATGAATAATATATACAGAAGATTGAAAAATACTGAACACAAATGGGGAGATAATATTTTCACTTACGTGAAATACCATTCACTTCCACTGAAATATTTGCATCACTATGAGATCGAGGTTTACCAACTCGCAACAAACGACGACCAAAAGATCTAATTAAGAATGATACAACAGAGGGTAACGGCCATACAAAATGTAAACTAAGCACATCTTCAAGACATGCGCAAGTGATGACTTTTATACAATCAAAGGCTTGAAGAAAATGAGATATGTTGATAAGCTAGCGAAATCACGATGTGTCTGATACCACACTTCAAAGTAAAATGAATACCAACCTGATTACTAGACACAGTGTAGACAAATAAGATGTACATTAATCTAGTAGCTGAAGGCCATCCGATAAGTGACTGCATAAACCTTAGTTTTTGTATTTGTAAGATACACTAGTATGGTTCGTGTTTAAGTCAAATCAAGAGTATTTATACAGGATTATCAATTGAAAGTACAAAAATACTAATGCTATTACTTTAATCTCAAAGGCGTAAAGCTCTTGACACTTGGTTTTTCATAATCATCCATATTTAAAAGTCTACTTTCAACTCGAACGTATTCTGAGTCTAGCGTGTGCGATCATGAATGCGCACTGCTGAGAAGTCCCGTAAAAGAAGTAAACGGCTATCAAGTACTTCTAGATATTCAGTGGTGGTTTATTATTAATCTGTTCATGATATGATTATAAACTCAAAAATCTCCACAATCCTATACTGATTTAATTTTTCTTAAACGTGAATGTACCCTATATTAAGCGATTGAACCTACACTTCCTACAGTATTTTGTACTTTCAATTGATAATCCTGTATAAATACTCTTGATTTGACTTAAACACGAACCATACTAGTGTATCTTACAAATACAAAAACTAAGGTTTATGCAGTCACTTATCGGATGGCCTTCAGCTACTAGATTAATGTACATCTTATTTGTCTACACTGTGTCTAGTAATCAGGTTGGTATTCATTTTACTTTGAAGTGTGGTATCAGACACATCGTGATTTCGCTAGCTTATCAACATATCTCATTTTCTTCAAGCCTTTGATTGTATAAAAGTCATCACTTGCGCATGTCTTGAAGATGTGCTTAGTTTACATTTTGTATGGCCGTTACCCTCTGTTGTATCATTCTTAATTAGATCTTTTGGTCGTCGTTTGTTGCGAGTTGGTAAACCTCGATCTCATAGTGATGCAAATATTTCAGTGGAAGTGAATGGTATTTCACGTAAGTGAAAATATTATCTCCCCATTTGTGTTCAGTATTTTTCAATCTACTGTATATATTATTCATTTATTTCCTTTATCCTGAAATGCTAGAAAAACTCAAGTAATTTACATAGTTGAGTCAAGTGTTATTATTATTATCATGACAGAATGAAAAAACAACAACATAATGTATAAAGCATAAAAATAATAGAAATGGCTATACATGACAGAAAACATAAGTTACTCAAAATGCATAGTGTACAATTAAGGGTTATAAAATAGTTTGCAGATTTTATTGAATATTCCTAATTCTTTTGCTTTAACAACTGTTTATGATGTAATTAAACATGAAGGAATCTTTCTTTTTTTTCATATCCAGTAGTATAAATCAGTTTAATACATTTTCGATTGTAATCATGATACAGCTTTGAGCACGCTAACTGAAGGTTAGTGTTCTTAGTTTTAGTCATCAGTAAGTTACAACACTTCATTGTTAATCACTCATTTTAGGTTTTAAAAGCTATGATTTCATAATGATGCAATTTGAAACAGTTGTTACTTAGTTAAAAATTAGTGATTGAGCTGAGTCATATTTTGCCAAATAAGTCACATGTAACCCAGTTATTTAAAGCTATGGTATTCATTTATTTGTAACAAGTTTTGCATTGATAAAATCCCCATCATCAACAGATAAGAACAACCTGTTTTTTTGTAGATGTCTAACGCAATTGTGTATACTAAAAAGTCTGTAAGCTAAGATTAACTATTTCTTACTAGTTACTCGTTACCTTTTTAAACTGGTTCACCAACTGGCGTATTACAATCCTTAATGGAAATCTATTTTACAAACTTCCTGATTTGATTTAAACCCTATTTAAATGACAAAGATTAATGATAAAAAACAATTTCACTTGCATACAAGTTTATATTTCTGTAAATGTTCCAAATTAAAAATAATGTTAATAAATGTTCAGTTGGCTGAGTATACTGATGTGTATGATTTGTTTATTGTTTATCTATTTTTAAGTGAAATGTGACGAATTCTATTGTTTTGACGGTATACATGTAATATAAGGTGAGAAAAATCTGTTTATCAAGTTTTTATAAAAAATAAACAATGGAAATGTTTTTGTCTAATAACGTTACGTTGGTTAATCAAACGACTAAGAATGTTTTTTAAGTTTCATATCTGTATCGATGTACGCTTGGGCTTGGAGCACACGCCACTGTCATATTATGTACTGATTTAAAATAAATTTGAACTTAATTTTATCACATACGTGAACAAAACTACTATCTGGACGATTGATTGATTGATTGACCTGAGCGTCCAATGTTGTCGAAAGTAGTTTTGAGGTCAGATCAGAAACCAGAATTAGTTTATCATTACTGCATACATAACCAGTGTAAATCAATGACGAAAAATATTGCGAATTACATTATTTGATATTACAACTTACTTTGATAATTTTAATTGGTAATATTTATTTTATTTTAGCTTTTCCTTCTACATCTATGGTCACTAATCATCAACAGTTACCTTGTGATAGCAGTATTACCGGTAATTACACTAATCAAATGTCAGCACCATTTGATGTTTACCACAGTCATAAATTGGCGAAAACATTACCGGCGCATATATCGGATCCAAACATTGATTTGTGTAAAATACCTGCAAGACAATCGAATACTCTGTCGGTTAAATGTATTCATGATTCTAATACGACCGGTAATTTTGATACATTGCTTAATCCAACTCAATTTCCTACCAGTGGTCAATACCTCAATAATTTCAATATGAAGCTTATTCAATCATCTAGATCATCGCTAGCTGCGCCAATATCGCTTAAACATGAAACAATTGAACCAATTATGTCAACCAGGAGACTTACACTGAATAAATCAATGCTCACTTCAAATCCTAGAGCACCACATTTATATCCTCATTTGTTTCATAGCGATCCTGTTTGTGATGATGTGTATCATGCTACAAAAGCAGTTACCACTAAAAATACTGATGTTTAAAACTTTGTATTCACTGGTTTAGAGTAAGTGGGGTTTATTGAACACTTGTATTCATTGTTTTGTCATTATGGGGATAGTTTTTAGTATAATAAGATACTAAATAGGTCGGTCAAATCGACTTGATAGTTTAACTCTTTGAAGCACTTTTATACTGATCGATGTGTAGTACTTATCCTTTGAGTGGTATTTAGTTATCATTTACTAAGTGTAAATAACATTCTGTTAATTCCAGTGACATTCATCCATCGAAACATTTTCTGACAATTTGTCATTTTCAATCGTTTTGATCTGGTATATGTTTTCTCCTTTGCTTGAAACCTGAGTATTTGAAATACTCTAATCTTGTTGAGGATTCGGTGTATTTTATGCTTGTTCATTAACACAATTTCTGGTTATTCATTCTAAATATGTAAATAGTAATAATAATTTTGGAGAGGTGATCCGTTGGTTAAGACTCTTGATTTCAGGTCACTATGTCAAGTACTAGGTTCGAAACCCGCTCCAACTACTTCGGTTTGGGGAAACGGGTAGTATCACTAACACTCACACTTAAAGTGCGGCTCATAATCAAGTATGTGCCAAATGAATTAGTTTAAATTTTAATGACAATTTTGTCGTATTATATCTATGGGTGAAAGTTGTAGGTTTGAATGAAGTGTTGATAGTTTTTCTTGCTTACCTTTCATCAAACTTGTTGTATGTGTTCGCACAATTACTCAAATTAAGGCTCCTGATTGTACACATGTGGACATATTCCAAAGAATGAAGAGCTCGAAAGTTATAATTATGTTGTTTATACTTGACATATTTCTTAGCTTTATCATGAACACAGGAATGCTTACTACATTTTTATGTCTTCGGTATTCCATCAAAAAATAATGACATTTTACTCTGTTGAGTGGGAAATCTTGTTGTAGCATCTTTAAAAATGATGACAGCTATAATGCTGCTTCCCAATGGATTACATGTTTTTATTTGAACCATACTACTTTCAGAGGAAATCGTTTACGGTTACGTTTCACTTGTTATTTCATTTTTAGCTCATAATGTGAATTCCTCAAATATAAACTCCAATTACCACTTATGTCAATAAACACATATTCATATTTGTCACTTTAATTGACGTTTTGCTATCTACTTTGTCATTTTTCACCCACACAACTATCTGTAAAGTCCACATTATTCGTCTGTTAGTCTTTTGGAAAAGGATAGTAACAAATGGCATGGTAAATATTGTTAGATATGCTTATCATCATTAAAATGTAAAACTCCATCCTGATGGTAGTAAACATATGACAGTTCACAATTAAGCTTTTATTATTTAAAATACCTAACGCGTCCGAAAGAGCCGGGACCTTTAGCTCTCTCGTCGTTTCACACTATCATTCAAAAGAATGTAAGACTTATACATTGAACAGTAATAAAAGCTGCAATAAGAACGAAAGAATTCGTAGTAATAGTCATATGTATCAAGAAATTGTAACTTTCATTTGCTAATAGTTAAATAAAGACAGCTCGCCAGGTTCAAACTGATTCAAGAAGAATGATACAGTTCCATGCAACTGTTTATTGATTGAGTAAAGTCTACAATTAACAGTCTTAGTATGTCACTTCACATATTCATTAGATATACTCTATAGATTATAAAAGTGCAAATACAAAACATCTATTTGGCTGTTAACACGTCATTAAATACTGATATTCGCCCCCAAATGCCCTGGTACGGCCGAGAGTGGGGAGAGTCCGCTCTCCCTCTCCAAATGCTCTCACATGGCCACGCGTATATAGCCTCTACCAGGAAAGTCCTACTCACTGCCTTCTCGTGGCGGGGGTGTTGTTTACAAAAATGAGAGGACGAAAAGCGAATGTCCGTCGCTTTAACCGGATCCCAAACCAATGGTGCACATGGGCTCCAGTAACCTGCGGGAACAAATGGCGTATGAACCAATCGTTGGTCACCGGCTACCATGGGACTGCATCTCCTTACGATGATCCACTACCTTGTGGATCAGATCTTTGGGTCGAAGGCTCGGGGTGTGGCCCCCTAAGAAAACCACCTGTTTCGGTTTGGGCACCCAGGCAGTATCACAGCCCTCACACAAATCAATTGAGATTTGTGTGGCGCATATGTATTTGGTGCCTCCTTGTACCAATACCTATGTGTTAAAATAAATAATAAATAATAAAAAACCCAGAAGCACTGGACCGCCGTTTCATCCTATTATGTGACTCATCAGAGGTGGGCTTCTACGACTCGTAACTATAATGACAAAACAATGAATACAAGTGTTCAATAAACCCCACTTACTCTAAACCAGTGAATACAAAGTTTTAAACATCAGTATTTTTAGTGGTAACTGCTTTTGTAGCATGATACACATCATCACAAACAGGATCGCTATGAAACAAATGAGGATATAAATGTGGTGCTCTAGGATTTGAAGTGAGCATTGATTTATTCAGTGTAAGTCTCCTGGTTGACATAATTGGTTCAATTGTTTCATGTTTAAGCGATATTGGCGCAGCTAGCGATGATCTAGATGATTGAATAAGCTTCATATTGAAATTATTGAGGTATTGACCACTGGTAGGCAATTGAGTTGGATTAAGCAATGTATCAAAATTACCGGTCGTATTAGAATCATGAATACATTTAACCGACAGAGTATTCGATTGTCTTGCAGGTATTTTACACAAATCAATGTTTGGATCCGATATATGCGCCGGTAATGTTTTCGCCAATTTATGACTGTGGTAAACATCAAATGGTGCTGACATTTGATTAGTGTAATTACCGGTAATACTGCTATCACAAGGTAACTGTTGATGATTAGTGACCATAGATGTAGAAGGAAAAGCTAAAATAAAATAAATATTACCAATTAAAATTATCAAAGTAAGTTGTAATATCAAATAATGTAATTCGCAATATTTTTCGTCATTGATTTACACTGGTTATGTATGCAGTAATGATAAACTAATTCTGGTTTCTGATCTGACCTCAAAACTACTTTCGACAACATTGGACGCTCAGGTCAATCAATCAATCAATCGTCCAGATAGTAGTTTTGTTCACGTATGTGATAAAATTAAGTTCAAATTTATTTTAAATCAGTACATAATATGACAGTGGCGTGTGCTCCAAGCCCAAGCGTACATCGATACAGATATGAAACTTAAAAAACATTCTTAGTCGTTTGATTAACCAACGTAACGTTATTAGACAAAAACATTTCCATTGTTTATTTTTTATAAAAACTTGATAAACAGATTTTTCTCACCTTATATTACATGTATACCGTCAAAACAATAGAATTCGTCACATTTCACTTAAAAATAGATAAACAATAAACAAATCATACACATCAGTATACTCAGCCAACTGAACATTTATTAACATTATTTTTAATTTGGAACATTTACAGAAATATAAACTTGTATGCAAGTGAAATTGTTTTTTATCATTAATCTTTGTCATTTAAATAGGGTTTAAATCAAATCAGGAAGTTTGTAAAATAGATTTCCATTAAGGATTGTAATACGCCAGTTGGTGAACCAGTTTAAAAAGGTAACGAGTAACTAGTAAGAAATAGTTAATCTTAGCTTACAGACTTTTTAGTATACACAATTGCGTTAGACATCTACAAAAAAACAGGTTGTTCTTATCTGTTGATGATGGGGATTTTATCAATGCAAAACTTGTTACAAATAAATGAATACCATAGCTTTAAATAACTGGGTTACATGTGACTTATTTGGCAAAATATGACTCAGCTCAATCACTAATTTTTAACTAAGTAACAACTGTTTCAAATTGCATCATTATGAAATCATAGCTTTTAAAACCTAAAATGAGTGATTAACAATGAAGTGTTGTAACTTACTGATGACTAAAACTAAGAACACTAACCTTCAGTTAGCGTGCTCAAAGCTGTATCATGATTACAATCGAAAATGTATTAAACTGATTTATACTACTGGATATGAAAAAAAAGAAAGATTCCTTCATGTTTAATTACATCATAAACAGTTGTTAAAGCAAAAGAATTAGGAATATTCAATAAAATCTGCAAACTATTTTATAACCCTTAACTGTACATTATATTTTCTTTTGATTACCTTATATATTCCACTTAGCAGTATTAAATAACTTACATGTCGATTTTGAAATGACATAACGTGTTGTTTGTAATTGTTCGTTTAATGCTTTAAATTGTTTTTTAAGTGTTTTTAACTTTTCACTATATATACGTTTGATTTCACTTTCACGAGAGGGAGATTGATCATTTGATATTGATGACAATGACAGTAAGGAGGAAGATGATTTAGTTTTGCTAATTTCAGGTTTCGATACTTCAGCTAATTGTTCAAATAACCGATCATTCAATTCTGAAAAAAAGAATAATACCTCATGAAATAAAAATAACAATAAGTGTAAAAATTCAGTACGTCTGAGCTTATGAATTAGATTGTCATTTGACATTGTTAATGGAAATGAAGTAGTTGTGATGAGGTTCAAACAAAAAAGCATTCAATCAAGTACATATACGTAAAATGATTTTGATTGAGTAACTTTGATAGGGTGAGAACTGTTGAGAAGTCACTATTCAGAGCAAAGTAGCTCTTCCCATTTGTTTTCCAACTGATAACATTATGTAGCAGGGATTAACAGTGAACTGAACGAATCTCCATCATCTTCCTTCTCATGACAGTTAGTAGTTGTAAAACTGTGAGTTCAGGTGTTTAGTTATTGAAATTGACCATATTTTTGGGTAGCGTATTTGAAATTTTGTCTTACATTCACTTAACAACTACAGCTCATAACCTAATGTACTCACCTGTAGGTGATTACTAAAGTGGCTTGTCTTTATACGTTAAATTGTAATGGAATCTGTTAAACGATATGAAGCTATTATTTTGAAACTAACTAGAAAGAACTAGAAAGCAAACACGTATTTTTTTAAAATTGTATGCAATGAGAATACTCTGTTTAATAAATGCAATAAAATGTTCATCATTTAATATTAGTAAATAAACGTAGTATTGTTTAGTCATGTTGGTTATTCACACATACATTATACAAGTCACGCAAAAACTCATATTCAATATGTACGTCACGCTTAAAATGAACATTGGGAGATAATTTATCCGGTAATATTTTCACATATTAATTTAAACCAATTAATGGAGATAAACATTCACAACAATGATGACGACGTCGGAAACTGCACAGTCAAACAATCATAAAGACAAATTTTAATAAACTATTAAAATAAACAGGTTGGCTTTTTCGAAGAATGAATGTTTCATTAAAAACACTAGAACAAAATAAATAAATATACATCAATCAGAGCAACAACAAGTACAAATAACTGAACAACTGATTGAAAACTCGATATGCATCAGTAATTGTGAAGAAAAATTGCTTTTACTAATTAAAATCAATACAGAAAAATATAAATAAAGTTTTACTGAAAGTATTGTATTGAAGTAACACCAGCGCGGAAAATACTCATCTTAAAATTATGTGATGGGAAACATACATTTTGCATTCACTGAAACAAGAGCGTAAACTGAAATTGGCATTCCGCTTATTGATCTTCGTCATCTCCCTTCTGTACAATCAAATTTGTTTTTCTTAAAAGACGTCAGTAAGTAAAATAACAAAGTTTCTATAGGTGATAAGTAGTCGTTGGTTGGCGCTACAGTGATAGATGTAGACAACATAATTGAGGTACGTGTGATAACTGGCATCAGTAGTTGAAGACAGGCTGAGATAGATCAGAATACCTCACAATAGCACAGAAGCACTCACTCGTCATCTTCCTAACGATTTTAAACTCCAGTATTCCTTCACACATACCTTTCCACTTTGCTTTACTGAACCATATTTTCAATGATTAATCTTGTCATTTTTACTACTACATCATATCAATTTCAATTGTAATTCATCTTGTAGTGCTAATGTAGTGTGGCGACATGGGCCAACGCACATGCGTCAAGTTTCATGATAAGGATATCTGTTTGTCGAGAAAGTCGTAGGGTTCTCTACTAGACTTCTCGTAGACGAACAAACGCTTGGTGAACAAATACTAGAAAAATGTTGGATGACAAGCGATTTCGTGAAAACAAACATGCTTTCTTCATTAAATTGTGAGTAGTACAGAAACTTGTTCCTTAAAAAAAGAATATGTAAAATCAAATTCCAACGCGGAACTAATTTTCTTAGAAAAAAAATGAACGTTTAGGCAAACGACCTACCACATTTCATAAAAATACACTAATTTCTTAATCTCCTAACTGTTAGTTATACACTCATTAAATAAAAGTACAACTGTACATCAAGAATAACCCATAATAAGTTAAGACGATTCAAAATTAACGGCATTTTCGAAAGGTCAATGTGCCAAACACCAGGTTAATTGTTCATATGCAAATAAATGCTGATCAGTATATCTTCTTTAATACCTTGGATACATGATCATAACACTTTCTGATGACAATTGATTACCATCAACCAAATAGCAGCTTACATTCATTATAATATTATTTTAAATAGCCATGATTACAATAGCCTTTAAAATTGCCAAATATTATGTACATATATATCATTCACATGTTTAATTGATTACCTAAAAGTGTTAACCTAGTTTAAAAGTCCATGTACAAATAGCATGTGAAACTTCCGCAATAATAATAACAGACATAGATGTAAAAGAAAATAGAAGGAAAGAAAATATACACATTATATACTTCAAAGTGATTTGGATTCTGAAAGTTTTATTATAGCAAAAAGAGTAATCCATTACAGTGAATTTCGATACAAAAAAAGCTGTTTAAACAAATTTCGCCTAATTAGTTTGTAAAATACATATGTCTTCAAATAATCAATTCTAGGTTATTTAAAACAATAGTTATTTGATGCTCTTATTTCAACTATAAAAACAATAAAGTGGATGATGTACTTAATGTACCAACTTAGATTTGAAACAGCGAAAAAACAGAAAGATTTATAGAAATATTTTGACAATAACAATGTAGCTGTCTATAATATTTAGAAGTATATCTAATATAAGCCCCAAGTACCAGTCACTTCAATCTACCAGGGTAAATGGAATAATCGGAGAGGGGTATAGGTCATCAAAACTGGAACATTAAAAAATAACTTAGAACTGACGCTAAAATCATGGGTTCAGTTAATTTGGAAACCATATTTCTCTACTACCGCTTCTTTTAGTTGCTGTTTATTTTGGCTATTTCCCTGAATAAGCTCAGATAAGATTGCCAAGCGAAACGTCGGAACCCATTTCGATCGTTGACATATCAAGTAACATTTATTTTTGATAAACGAAATGCTTTGAAAAGTCCTACAAGTGACTAACAAACAAATCAGATTGCATAATTGGAGCTACGATTCTGTGACTGGAACACTGAATTCCATAGTAGAGAGCTGTAGACTTAAAAATCTCCCTGTTTTATATGTATTAATTTGCAGTCAAGTGGTATATTTACTCTACACACATACATATACAAACAAAATCTATGACACGAATCAATGCTTCACTAATTTAAATGTAAGCTGATAGAACGAAGTGCCACTGTATACCTACCTATATTAGGTGCTAACCAATTCAAGAAAAATCGTTATCAATCGTCATCAATGACACCATAAACCAGTAACCATAGGTGATAAATTGGTTGAAATTTGCATAAATGAAGATAATTCTTGACTGATGTTAGAAAATTCTAAGTGTAACTTTAGTAAGCTGGTAACAGAACCTGTCGCTTCCAATCACAGCAAGCGAAGTACGGTTCGAATCTGTGATCAGGATATAACGGTCAAGTGATTTAAATACTGACCCCTAGTTTCATGGCTTTAATTAGGAACTAAACTGATAATGGAAAACCGAACTGCACTAAATGAAAGTCACATTTGACAGAATGAGTGACAAAATATAAACAATCTTTAAAGAAAGCGAAAAAAAGGAAATCGTACATTCTAAAAATAAAAAACTCCATACTATTATGAGAAATGAATCTTCTTTGAATTAAAAAACATACCCTTCTGTTCATTTAGGTTGTCCTTTATTGCAGTTTCAAGGTGCATCACATCATGTTGTAATTGTTGCATTTTAAAGGCTGTCAATTCAGAATCAATAGGATTGGTAGTATCATCACGGCAAGTAGAATTACCGCTGCCGGGAGCAGCATCAGCACTAACAAAATCAGAAACGGGTGATGACGACGATGATAATGCTGACTGAGAATTGATTGGTTTATGATCTTCCATTAATTTATTCAAACTATGCCCATTTGTATTAGTAACCGACTCCGTTTGAGGGGATGATTGTAAAGAATTACTTGGCTAGAAGGATTATTGAAAGTAATAATAGAAATTAACAATGATTTGTCTTACAACTGTTCATATAATGTTAAAATATTATTGTAGAATTCCAGATTTAGAAAAAATACTATTCAAGTTTGGTTGTTTTCTAGAGGCATTTAACATATTCAAATTAATTTACGTTGTTTTTTGAGATTGCATGAAATGGAATTCTCAGTGTAGTGTGATATATGAAGAATTAAAGTCGTAAAAGCGATAGTTTTGAGCATAGATATCTATGATAACATTTCAAAGACTTTCCAAAAATAAGACTAAACGAAGTTAAGTACTCAACAAAAAGTAACATGCATGTAAACATTATAAGTTTAAATCAAGTTTACCGAATCGATTGAGAAATATCTAATTTCACTCCAGTTCATGATGATCCTGTTGTTAAGTATTTCGATGTTCATTTCACTGGCATTAGATATCAGACATAATTATAAATGAGTACAATACTTTTTCTTTTATTATGAACCAGACAATAAATGATATTCATAGGTATAGTCACAGATATAGTTGATAATCTTGGTTATTGAAGTTACTTTTAGACATGAAACATAATAGTAGAGACTTTACTATTTTCATTATCATATTTATACACACAATGGATGAATGTATAAACATAACAAAAGTGTACAGACTGCACACATTGAGTTTTGGCATACCGTCTAAATAATAACACATTTGTAGTCATTTATGTATTTATGTGACCTATAATAAATTTAAGTGTATAGTCTGATATTGATGCTATTATCGTATCAGAGTCGGATAAAAATGATTGCGTTTATATCCATTTAGCCTTATAATTATTGAACAATGTATAGTGTATTATAAGAGGTAGGTATATAGTATGTGCATATAAATTTAGGCACCAGTGTATGTGTGCATCAGTTTATTACAGTAACAATCAAATCAACTACACTCCAATAAAATCATTGGCTCACTTAAGGTAATAATTCAACTTTATTATTGAAAATGTGATTAGTACAGTCATCGTTACAACTATATTAAAACATAACATGAGAATTATAAATATCTTCAAGGTCTCGTGTATAAATAATAACCTACTGAAATAGATTTTCCTAAACAAATGGATATATTGTGTTAGAAAATGCACACGAAATCTTATGATTTTGGTTGTTATACACTAGTGTTAATCATGTGGAAACTTGACAAAAACTAATTGGGCTAGTTAATGGAGATTCATTCGTCTAAACACAACAGATAAAATTCTAGAGAAGTGTATTTGAAACAGATTACATAATAATATGTACAGAATAAATCTTAAATTTATATGCTCAAATATACCAATGGATGACATTGCTAACTGTAACAAATAGCTAGTTAATTAAAGTTCATGAAATAAGAAAGGGATAGATAAGACTTTACAAAGTTTTTTTCGAATTTTAGTTTCAGTTAATTTATATGAGTATGATAAATAAATTTCCTTATTCGAAAAATGAAAAACTGATTTGTCAGCTGCAACACATGACCAGGCACATATGCATCGGTCCAAGTTGCCATACCTCATTAGCACAACAAGACAGACACCAAATTCATAGAAGAAGCTACTTTAAAAGTGGTATTATGTAAAAGAATGGTTTCATACATGGATATGATACAGGGAGAAAGAATTAGTCCGTAGAAAGAAAGGTATAAAGTAAATTTAACCTCTTAGTTTAAGGGAAGACAAAGAGTGTATACACCGACGCCATTGTGATCGATTCTGAGCCATGTCACCCAGAGTCTCCAACCATTGGTTACAATAGTCACGCGGACCCCAACCAAGTAGTCTACATCTACCAACATAGCTCACACCACAAGTTAGTGACTTAAAAGAATGATGCCACAGAACTTCTCAGTCTACAGAGTCAAACGCTGCTTTCAGTCAAGGAAAACTATCATTGTCGGACGCCGAAAAGTAAGCCTGTGTTCCAAGATCTGACGAATGGTGAATATGTGGTCGATGCAGCCACGACCAGGTCTGAAGCCAGCCTGATTTTCCCGTGTTTGCGGCTCACAAGTCTTTGTTAGGCAAAAGATAATTATTGAGACTAGTATTTTAGATGCTATATTAGTCAAACTAATCACTCTATGGTTATCACAGGATGATTTTAACCACTTTTTATATATTGTGACAATCAGTAATTGTGACCAGTCAGGTGGGATAACGTCCAACTCCCAGATTTAAGCTAAAATATTAGTCAACCTAGTCGCTAAAACCAGACCACCATCCCTTAAGACCTCTGGAGCCAATCCATCTGGACCGGCTACCCTTCCTCGTTTCAGATTAACTATAGCCTTTTGAACTTCAGATAGAGTCGGGGACCTACTTCAATGTTCTATTCACTCTGCCTGGGAATGGTGGGTAGTTCTAGAGTAGTTGAAGGCCAGCTGAACTGCTCCTTAAAATATTCCGCCCATAGTTTTAAACATCTGGACTGAGAGCAGATAAGTGTCGTCTTGTTCCAAAATCATCTCACCTATATCCGGCTTAATAATTCAGGTTTCTTTTAGTCTGAGCAGCTGCCTTGTTACCTACAACCGCTGCCTTTTCCAACTTTTTTGTTTTCGTTACCCACCACTGATCACGGTCGTTCCTTAGAATTTGGTTAACCTAGATCTGAATTGTCTTAGCTCTTCATTGTGTACGGAGCCTGATAGGATGAGCTTAAGAGAGTTTATCAGTGCAACAGATGTCGCAGACACCCACTGGTTTTTCGTAATCCTTCAGTTCAAATCACTAATAGATGTCACTAATGTTTCTACAGCTGTTCGTATATCATTCAAAGCAACAGCTGGGTTAATCTAGTTTTCGAAATTGTGAAAGTGTGACTACAGTTTATTCCTGGAATTTACCTTAGGCATTCTTATTAATTTGTTTGAACACAAACATCGGTACAAAGGGGCACCAAATACATATGAGCCACACAATAACAATGAGGCCAGTAGTAGTTATCATTGACTTGTGTGAGGGCTGTGATACTGCCCGGGTGCCCAAACCGAAGCAGGTGGTGTTCTTAGGTGGCTGCATCCAGATCCTTTGATCTAAAGGTCTAATCTACAAGGCAGTGTAGCAACGTTAGGGGGTGCGATCCCATAGTAGCCGTTGACCAATATGTTCATACACCATTTGTTCCCTCAGTATCCTGGATCCCATATGCAACACTGGTTTGGAATGAGAGTTTTCTAACTCCCCTAGGTGGACCCTCCGTGTCCACCGACCCGTTTAAGGCACCGGATGTTCTTTTTTCATCCTCTCAATTTACCAAGCAATACCTGTCACTTCCCTGGTCATATGAGAGAATTTCGAGAGGGTGGGTGGACTCTCTAACATCGGCTATACAAGGGCATTTGGGAGCTTTCTCATCACTGAGTTCAACTGTAATGGGTCTTATTAATGTGACGTTTCTGCGTTTGTTTGAACACATAAATATTGGTACAAGAGGGCACCAAATATATATGCACCACACAAAACAATCATAATTTGAAGAGAAAGGAGAAAAAAGAGAGAGAGAACAATAATGGGCGAAACGGAAAGGTACAATCAGAAGAAATCTTTCAGTTAAGGAAGAGACAACCACTTTTTATGAAGAAAGTAATAGAAGGTTACAGCAGGATCGCCACTGGCTTCTATTCTGAGCCATATCTAATAACGTCTCTAGCCACTGTGTTACACTGTCCCTCGGACCCCAGCCAGGGAGTCGTGAAGGACCAACAGAAGCTAGCCCTTTGCAGCTTTCTTTCATACCACGACACCATGTCATATACTGACCACCTCTCCGCTTTTTCCAACCAGTCGCAGAGTCAGCAAATAATGCACGACGAGGAATTCTCTGGGACGACATTCGTAGAACATGTCCAAGCCACCGAAGTCGGTGTTTCAAGATGGTGACACCAATGGAATTATCGTCTCTGTGACCGAACACTCGATGTCGAACCTCTGCATTACTAACATGGTGTTGCCACTGAATGTCAGCAATCCTTCGGAGACAACGATGATCAAACACAGAGAGTCGTCTAACATCCTCAACTCGGAGAAGCCAGGTTTCACAAGCATAGAACAAAACTGCTCTCACTGACGCGTTGTAGATGCAGGTATACATGAGAGATAAAGACTTGACTATCACTGTATTTACAGTAATAATTAGATGTGATGCAACAACTTCACTGGTGTAATTAAAATATATGATGAGAATAGAGAAAATGATTACTTCAAATCAAACTCTTCGCATAGTGTTAGTGTTAGAATAGTAGTGATGAAGAAGAGTTTCACGGTGAGAAATATCAATACATGAATTACCTTGGATCCTGTAGGGAACTAAATTTTTTCTAGCTAAAATTAATGAGACATAAGATACGTTATATTCTATAATCAATACAAGTGATTCTAATAAACTGGCTTCCTAATTCCCTAAAATAATCAGACAAATAGGTATTCGATTCTTATTTCTTGTCTTATTAATCAAAAGACTGATTGATTGGTTTGCTTTGTTTTTTTTTTCTCTTTCCAAATTTATTCTGTTGGATTATACTCCTTGAATAACATCTTCAAACCCTAAACTTTCCGATTACTGCTTATACTTTTACTACCTCTACCACTATGGGATTTGAATCGACAACTGTATCTCTGTGCTAATGTGGTATGGCAACTCGAACTGATGCACGTACGTACGGAGTTCTACGTTGTTGCTGACTGACTGATAGCGACAACGCAGACCAAGCCATAAATTTAAAATAGCTCTAAAGCAACTGTTTATTACCTGGGAATGCATAACCAATAATAACCAATGAAGTGACTTACACTGAGTCACGAAACGTCAGAGAATTTAAGCTTTTAACCCATTGGAGTATTACAAATATATTGTTTTCGTTTATAACAATCTACCCAATGCTCAATTTATTTGAAATTATTAAGTCAAACTTTGTTGATGATATCTACATGACCAGTGAGTTGCCAACTGTAGTCTCAAATTAAACATATATATTATGGCAACGCTCACTAGGGAATACATATTTCATTGTAAGTCTCTATATGATGGGGCAACAGTGATTACATTTTTGTATTGTAATAAGTATCATTACTTTAGCATATGACTGAATCAGTTAATGATAATAAAAAGAAATTTCAATTATTTGTTACCAGATGTTACTAAGTTCTGGAATTTCCTATATATGCATAGGTCGCACTAAATGATAACGGTTATAATAATATATAACATAGTGAGTTAAGAACATTGATTTATGAAACGGTATAAAGACTAAGTTAAAAATGAACAACAGGCAAGATCAGGATACAAAGTGCTTTATTATTGCTAGAGGAATTGATATAAACTTTGTGGCTCATTTATCTTAGCTATTTCGTGTCTTAGTTATCAACAAGTGGTACCTGAGAAAATCAAACGGTAGGAAAAAAACACTTGACCAGCATTTTAATAGAAAGTTGTTTGAGGATTCGACCACGCATGAAGTACCATTGGCGATCTGAAAATGCAGAACTCGTGGTAAATAAATTCAAGCTACCTGGAAATTGGTTAATTTGATCGAAAACCTGTTTAAGAGATAAAACTCCTTTTAAAAGATGCCATGATTGATGATGACTGAATAACTACAACAATTCTGTGAAGGAAAATCGCTAGCGAAATAATAATACCCATGAGTTTTCGGAATCAAAACAATAAACGTATGGTAAACTTTTATGGGCAAATGAATGAAATTATTTTAGTGGGATTCAACAAAGTCACTTTTTGAGCCATTTCTGCTGTTCAATTTAACTCAAGTGAAGCGAAAACTATGCCCTGGTATAGCCGATGTTAGAGAGTCCACCCACCCTCTCGAAATTCTCTCATATGACCAGGGAAGTGACAGGTATTGCTTGGTAAATTGAGAGGATGAAAAAAGAACATCCGGTGCCTTAAACGGGTCGGTGGACACGGAGGGTCCACCTAGGGGAGTTAGAAAACTCTCATTCCAAACCAGTGTTGCATATGGGATCCAGGATACTGAGGGAACAAATGGTGTATGAACATATTGGTCAACGGCTACTATGGGATCGCACCCCCTAACGTTGCTACACTGCCTTGTAGATTAGACCTTTAGATCAAAGGATCTGGATGCAGCCACCTAAGAACACCACCTGCTTCGGTTTGGGCACCCGGGCAGTATCACAGCCCTCACACAAGTCAATGATAACTACTACTGGCCTCATTGTTATTGTGTGGCTCATATGTATTTGGTGCCCCTTTGTACCGATGTTTGTGTTCAAATAAATTAATAAATAGAGATTAGGTATGCGCACTTTTCTTATTTATTTATAAGATCAGTTAAATCCATTCTGAACGATTTTGATACACCTTTTATCCAAAAGTTATAAATGTAGTTTAATTTAAAATGCTAATAATAAAAGCAAATATAAAGAACCCAGACGAAAAATAACTTTGATTTACCTCATAACCGTAATGGACAGATAACTTGGCATGAGGAACAGAAGCATATGCACGAGATACCGAAGTATGAAATGATCTACTGTGCTGTGTTTCAGGTGTTGGATTGGTTACTGTCATGATAGTTGTGCTGGAACCGAAATAGGAAGTGATGAAAAAATCGTGGATAAGGCAAAACAAAAGTATTTGGTTATAGTAGCGACACTAGTCGGAATGACTATCACAGTAACATATCACTTCGATAATAACACGATTTCACCTCAGATAAGAATGACTAATTTATTTATAACATCTAAAATAGTACTAAATAACTATGATGAATGCATTGATGTGAAAGACAGGAATCTAATGCAATAGCTGGATTTTAACCAATGGGTATGTGAAATTCACTTCAACTAAAAATGTTTGTTGCTCTTGCTATACAAAATAAACGAATATCTTTTATGAGCTATTTTCACCCATTCTATAATCGTCTACGTAGAGGCTTTGTATTGTAAATATGATTTACCCGAGTAATTCCCAATTAGCCGCAGTTTACGTCACTGCGTATTGATCAACAAACAATCGTAACTATGAATGAACCAGCTTTATGCAAACCAATGCAGTTCACTTCCGATTCTTACGGTTTAAGAATCAGTCGATAAAGACACAAGCCGTGACATGAAAAATGATCCTTAAACTACATATACGTGATCCAGAAAATAAACAGACAGACGACATACAGCAGCCATATACGGACTCTAGTAACCGGTCAATGGTTACAGTACGGCAAATAATGCTTAACTCTCCAAATGAAATATATAAATTGTCATAGGTTGAAATATCATGGGAGTACTTAAGTTTAGCAAGCGTTGATCCATAACGACTATATAAGGGCTGATATTACCTAGTGAATGTAAAACTACGATATAGACAATGTAATAAAACAGCCATGTACATCCTTGTGCAAGAATATGTACCAGATATTTTGTATAGGATTATGATAACATTTCATCACCCAAAAATATATAAATAGGTGGGATCGCAACTCAATGATAGAAAATTAAATACACAGCCACAGTTGTACCCAACCAGCCAGATTATAATAGATGGAATAAATATAACAGTGAGATTGAACTTACTGTATAGTATTGTTGATCTTAGAGTAGAAAATTACTACTAACGGAAATAAGGGAAACTGTTGGTTAAATCAATTTCTACATGAATCTGATGACTATAGGAGTAAGTCTTGATTGTCGATGAGAATTAAACAAGAAAATTATTATACAAGTTACATAGCGAGCTTAGTTTCGAAATAACGCAACTGCTAAAAACACCTCGTAAATGTTGCAAAATCAGGTTCTTATATTAAAATAAACCTACCACGATAACGAGGTATTACATGCTGATGAGTTGGGATTTGACACTTCAGCAGTAAATACACCACGATCCGAAATAGATTCAGCACTTTTCTTAGACTTCGGATTGCTAGTGTCAAGAAAAGCAGTCTGTATATGATAGTCTATGGGCAGTTGCATCTCATAACCAGAAAGACTACTACTTCGCGTAGAGCCACCAGTATCCAAAACATCCCACAAAGGTTTCCGGTCATCTTGTAACGGTTTATCCTTCACATCAGATGAATTAGTTGCCGGGATTCCTTCCAATGTTTTGGAATCGCTTGCAGGACATTGACTACGGTTAGAATGCCTTGAATGCGAAACGTGCTTAAACAAACTTCTCAGTCCTAGGAAATTTATAATTTAAAAAAATGAAAACTTAACCTTAAAATCATAACATACGTTGACACTACGAAACGAAGGGTGACAGTATAAAAAGTAAACGAGCTTATCGTTCCTGATTTAGCCGAATCCAACAACGTGGTCAGTAAATTAGTTAACATAAAGGGAAACGAAAAACTTAAGCAAGACTCATTTGATAGTAGGTTCCTAATAACAACAATGGAGCATGCCTTAATACAGCATGTATCCACACCCATACGTTCAGTTGCAAACCAAGGTTCATCTCTGTTGAACTTGGTAATCACTCATGAAACTGAGGATATTGTCGACCTAAATATTCTTCCACTGTTAGTGAATAGCGATCACGCTGTTTTGTCATTCACGTTTCGAACTATGGACGTGATATATGACCAGGTTACACCCCGCCCAAATGTGTGGAGAGCTAACATATCAGCCATTCAGGAGAGCGCTGCTAAGACAGATTAGTCAGTAGATACTAACTTATCAGTTGAAGAAGCATGGTCTGTATTCAAAGGTAAGTTTAGTTTAGTTACGTCCTCATTCATACCATACCTGGTACCGCGTAGACCGAATAACAATCCACAATGGATAACTAAACCAGTCAGGAAACTTCTTAGAAGGAAAAAGCACTGGAATATGTTCATCTTTACTGGCTTAGAACAATACAGATCCAGTTATTGTAAGATTAGGAGTGCCTGTAAAGCGTTAAGTAAGACTAGACGATCATATGAAAAACAATTGGTTAAGGATTGTATATATAGTCCGAAACAATTATTCTCGTATATAAAATGCGAACTCAGAGATGCAATGGAATTCCATCACTTTTGATACAAGAAAATCCGTTAATCTTGGCAAAAAATGATATCGAAAAGGGTAAAGTTTTATCGGAATATTTTAAGTGTTTTCTATCAGTAATAAAGAACGACCAACAACTCATTGTGATTGTGGCGGCTCTTTGATGGATCCTGTAGTCATTGAGTAAGGTACTGTTTTAAGTCTATTTCAGCATCTCATACATGATAAGTCCAGTGGTTCTGATGACATTCATCCTAGGATTTAAAAACCATATCGAATGTAATTGCTGAACAATTGGCGATACTGTTTGACATTTCCCTGAGGCATTCCAGACTGCCCAGAGACTGGAAAGACGCGATAATAAGTCCGGTGTATAAGGTTGGGAGTAGGGATTCAATTAGTAACTATAGACCCGTTAGCTTAACTAGTGTGGTTGTAAAACTGATAGAAAAAATCATCCGGATATCTGTTATAAACCATGTTGAGGCGCATAACCTTTTCTCCAGGGGACAACATGGTTTTCGGAGAGGTCTATCATACTTGACCGATCTCATTGCAAGAGAAGATTGGGCTGCGGCTAAAGATCGGAATGTTCCTGTAGATGTGATTTTCATAGATCTAGGTAAGGCCTTCGATAAGGTCTCTCATTCTGGTCTTAAATTTAAACTGGAACGTTTTGGGATCCAATCGTAGACTGGATAAGCAACTTTCTCCATGGCAGGGGACAAAGGGTAAGGGTTAACGGAGCTCTGTCCCCGTGGGTACCTGTAAAAAGTGGAGTTCCTAAAGGTACAATCCTTGGTCCTCTTCTCTTTTTACTTTATGTAAATGAATCACCAACTGTAGCAAAATCATCCATTCTACTCTTCGCTGATGGCATAAAAATTTGGAGACCCATACATAGTATGGGTGGAGTTTATTTCGATCGTAACCCTGATGTTTAAGTGTCCAGAACACACAATTGTAAGTATTAAGCCGCTTTGGAAAGGCTCCGTTGTCAAAGAATAAACTGTGCAAGCCGAAATGTCCCAATCTCCTGATTTCGGGAAAGCCAAAACAGAAAACTTTAGGGAAATAGCATAAAAACCCCTGAATTTCCCTAAAACCTAGAGACTGGGACGTCACTGAATGCAGTAACTCCACTGCTTACGTGGTGATTTACGTCTAGCTAGAAAGTACTTTGTGTACTAGGGGAGCATACAGAGTAACGTAAGCAAAGAGTGAAAAAGTGAAGAACAAGAAGTGAGTCAACGACACAGTAAGCGCATGTAATGCATTCACACCTAATAAGAAAACCAATCGACAACAGTCAGTGGTCTCAAAACCACCAGTCACTGTAAGGCTGCTACTGAGAAAGGCTATAGGGTGTTATGATCTATTCGTAGGTCCTTCCAGTATTTAAATGACGAAATGTTTAAATTTTTATACCCGATATACATGCAACCACACTTAGAATACGGGATTCAAACAGCGAGTCCTTGTTTCAAGTATGAAGCAGATATGCTAGAAAAGTCCAACTGTAGTGAACAGAACACGGGTGGGGACAATCGAATGTATTTAGGCACGAAATTACAGAGCATCTCAATAAAATCTGAGAACCATATATCAAATTATTAATTTGCAAAATATCAATCCATCATGTCAAACTTGACTGTTCCTGTTGCAAACATCAATCCATTATCTTAGATTTCATTGTTCATGAGTTTTCATACAAATTCCATTGTGTTCCCGCTCTTCCTTTCTTGATCTTCCCCCATCTTCTGCTGCCAGACATTACGTCTAAAACTCGCGTCATATACTACGTATATCGATATAGGTAGCGCGCACCACACAACGACGGGGGACAAAGATGATAAAAGGTTTATCTAGCCTATCTCATGAAGACAGACTGAGACACATTATTTCCGTTATCTCACCGTAGAATACGGGTTGATCTAATATTGGCTTATCGTATACTGCACAATGACCTTGGTATTAACATGTAGTGAATTACTAGAATTCTCCACCGCAACACGAAATATCAACACCCTTTGTTGATATATTCAAAACGAGATTGAACCTTCACAATGTTACAAACTGCAAGGAATAATATAATTCAATAGACCTATCCTTAATAGTGAAGACTGCCCCCGATATGTATTATCCAAAATAACTCTGGCCGAACAGATAATTACCTGTGAACTACACTAGCTACGTTCTTCAAATGATGTTCCCGATAAGGCATGACAAGCATGTAACAATAAAATGCATCTGGCTGAAGTGTCAGACCTGCATTTACCGCGCAGATATATATAAAAGCCATCAATGGCCTGAACTATACATTCACAACCAGTCGTCTAAAGAAGGTACTAACTTTAGGCACATTGCAAGGTAATTTATTTACTTATCGAGTAAGCTAAGTGACAACACAGAAAGTTATTTAGTAGGAATCCTAATGAACAACAGGAAGCATTTAGGAAAGCACATATTGTTGAGGCTGAACTATAATGATGAACCTCTGCTAGCAAGCCACCAAAATATTACCCTAGTCACAAAGAGAAGATAGTACTCACGTGCTAACGACTGATTATATGTAGTCAAACATAGGAATTGTAAATTTATTCCCTTACGAATACTGAGTTCAATGTTGCAGAAAGAGTCGAATAAAAGATCTTACCTTTTTTCTTCGACGACTTTCCTTTCTCTTCACATGTTTCGACAGGATCTGAGAGATTGTTTGAACTAGGATTGTTTCCACTGGCCAGCTTTAACAGCGTAGAAGTTAGATGTGGCGCGCATGTTATGTTCAAAGCCCAACGAAGAAGTATTACTACAAGTATGATGAGCACTTCTGCACCATAGCTGTTTCATTATTCTAAAAAGTCCTGGTTTCAGTACTCTTTGCCTTAATGGTGACCTACTGAGGGAACTTTTTCATAACGTATACTAGGAGAATATAGACATTGTAACCAAAAAGGTAAATAAACCCCGAAAATAAATAGTTCTGTAAGTCCTCACCATTTGATAAAGACCTCACTAGTTTTGCTGGAACCACTTAGCTGAATGCGTTCAGTCACTCTAGCTCACCGCCAAAGATGCCTTACGTATACCTAGTTTGACAACCCCTAGACCGGTTGCAACTTTTACAATCGAAATGTGCAAATCGAGGTAAATCGAAAGTTATAAGCAAGACGATTCGTAGATATCTTTGATAGAATAACGATTTATCGATGATTGACTAATCTGGACTGACTAGCGATGTTGTAGGAGATGCGTAGTATGTCGTACACAATCGTGATCTGGTGCGGATGCATGACCAAGCTAGTTTAGTTGGGTTAGTACAGCAAAACCAATGTGGTCGGCATCAAATATCAAACACTTACAGAACTATTGATTTTAAGGATATATTTACCATTACAGATCACTCGCTCACTAGTGGGGAAGTGATGACCCTAAGACGTAGCCAACCAGAAGTATAAAGAGAACTAGTTTGTCGTTGGTAAACTTTTCATTGATAATTTGCTATGTTCGGCAGCGTCTCATTGTACTTTCTTACAATAAAGCGTTAGGTTGTACAATATAGTAGTGAAAATCAGGCACAATGAAAATTTCGATCCCTCGAAATCTTTGTCGGTTTGGAAAAGAAAAGAAGGATATGTAAGTACATGTCGAGTTACATACGAACGTGCCCAAAGACCAAAATCGGGTGAAGAAAGGAAAACAAACTTATATGCACGCATTACGTACATATTCAATGCCGTGTACACGAATATCAGATTGACTTTTTGATTCTTTGAAAAAATAAAATATTCACATATAGCTTCACATTAGCTTCAAAAAGATTTCGTTTTAGTGGAATAAAAAAGTTAATGCACATGTGGGTACATTAAAAGTGTTTTGCGTTTGAAGAAAACAACACAACAAATAGAGACGAAAGAAAAGGTTATGTAGTGTCTTGCGTTCAGTATTCGTTTATGTGTTCTGGAACCCTTACACTTCTTCTAGAACACGTTTCAAGTCGGTTGTCAGATAACACCAAAGCGTTATCGTGATTGTTGATTATTGGGTGAGGCATCGTAATTGTGAGACTTGTGTCTTTCAATTATAATAAAGGAAAATCGACATGAATAGAGCTTCTTCTTAAATACGCTGCTTTGAGGCGATCGATGCTTATGCTATCCTTAGTTCCGTTCTTGTCGATTATATAGTACTTGATTTCTCGCTGAAGAATTTTGAAAGGTACTTCGTATGCCCTTTTGAAAGTTCGTCGAAGTGAGTTGCGTACTTTATCGTAGGACAAGGTGAAAGAAAACATCATTAGATTGCGATCCAATGGAAACAGGTTTGACTAAACGCATGCTGTTGTCAAGCCAGCTCATATAGGAGTTTAGATCCATATACACTGAAGAAGATGAAGGGTCCACGAATTCTCCTGGAAGTCGAAGTATTATCCTATGATTAAGTTGAGTTGCGGTGTATCCAATGTCAACTTTCACTAAATTGTGAACACCGAGTAAAAAGAACGGAATATTTTGGTCCAACGTGAAACGTTTGCGGCTGACAGGGAAGCTTGAAGCTGTTAGTGAAAGTGTTCTACCAACCTGTTTGCTTGTAGGTGATAGGCTGTCGTTCGTAATGGTGTGTTTAGGTTCGACGATGGCGAGGGCCACTGTTTCAGCATGAATGTTTTGATTGGTACTGCTCTAGAACTACGGTGTGGCGGTAAATACATCCTCAGAATAACTAGCTCTGTAGGTTTTCGACATTGGATGCTGACCACAGTTTTAATGGACTCATCTAGCTTGGTCAAGCATCCGCACTAGATCACGTGTGGGAACGCCGTGCTCAAAATCTGTCACAATCGCTTGCCAGATTAGTTCAAACGATCCTCGATTTATTGATTAGCTTATCATATATATCTTCGATCTCTTCGCTTTTGTCTTTTGATTTCACTTGGTGGGTATGCTTTATATTAGGTTTTACTGGTTAAAGCGTGGGAGCCATATCATTGTCTACCTTGATTAAACGCGTTGTAACAATCATCAGTATATGGTGAACAGCACACTCTGACTGGAGATAGAACAATGTGTATAACATGGATAAAAATAATGTTACATAAGTAAGACCATGCTTGCAAGACCGAATCGTGCTATCCGGTCAATTCAGCTGCCCGTCGTTTCGCTACAACGACCTTGAACGGCCTAACAAGAGGCGGTCATTCCGTATTTGAATTGCTGTGGGTTTGTTGATTTGCATGAATATTGAGTTTTATATTTAAGTCTTTTCCTGCATTAAAAAGCAAAAAATAACTGCTAAAAGCGTTGGCTTAGCACTCCAGTCTTGTAGTATACACGTTGGCATGGTTGTTGCTTTGTAAGTTGATCTGTAATCCCAACCGCTGCAATAAACCCCAACGAAATGTCAAGTTACCGGTAAGTCTTAAATATTTGTAGTACTTCCTTCAGTTATTATTGTTTTAAAAAATAACGTTCATAATTAATGATTGCTGTTTGTAGTACTTCATTAACAAGTGATATTTCAGTCGACTTAAACGATGCTTTTCAAAATATTATACTGAACAAGCGTTTCGCAAAGTGGGATGACTTTGATAGCGCGCTAAAAGAGTTCCAAAAAGTATGGAGGAATAATTTTATCCCTTCTCAGACTACCCATACTCATTATATCCACACAGAAAGCCAATTGCTCAAGGATGTCAGGTTCAAATACCTTTTTGTGACATTCCACTGCACATGCGGTTGTAAGCGTAAATCCAAAGGTCTGGCAATGAATCCGAAACCGTGAGAACCTTAACTAATATGTAACATTTAAGGTCTAAGTTTCTTAACTGCCAGTCGAGGTTCCGCGTAAGACTGGAAGCGGAAGGATATGTTATAAAATCATACAAGATGCTGCACAACCATCCTTGTAGTAGTTTGTGGATGATTTGTGACCCATGGTCCAGAAGATTGTCGTCTGAAGAGAAAGAAAATTTGATGCCGGTCATATTGCAGTCCCAATCAACAGATGAACTAATAGAAATTATCAAGGATAGGACTGGTAAGCAGCTCACTGTTGCAGATGTGAAGATTTTGAAAGCTAAACTCTCCACAGGTAAGTGTATAGAGTATATTTCAGGTTGTATGACGCGAAAGCGAAGTAAAAAACATGTGTTTCGTTTATGTCAAATATGGTAATGTCGACTATGGGAAGCATTACAAGGTGAACATAAGCACTTTTGAGTGCAACTTTAGAATATTTCTTACGTCCCGTTATCCTTGTCGTAATGTGTTTCTGGCTTATGTTAAGTGAACTATTACAGTAAGCTTCAGTCAGTCAGCTACAAAGTAGGTCCAGGCACATATATGTATCAGTCCAAGTTGCCAAACCGCCCGACCGTTGTTGCTACCTTGACGCGGTGGTCGGGCTTGCCTATCGTGGTGAAGCAACCGCGCTATACTGGCTGGAACAACCGTTCCTCAAGGTCCTACCATGTCAGACAGGTGGGTTGAAGAGCGGTAAGATTAAAAGCAACAAACTCAAGGTCGAAGGCGAGGTCGTACTGCTGACTGTACAGAGGTGTGACAGCAGTAAGGTGTTTCCTTCAGACAACCAGCATGACAGCGATGCTGCCTTCCCACAAGGAGGGCTGGGGATAAAAAAGGTCGACCCTAAAAATACACATCTCGCCTTCTTCCATGGATATCTGTGTCCGGCGGTAAGGTCTCAACAAGTACGGAGCTAACACAAAAACTACTCATAAAAAAGTCGTGTATGACCAACCTCAAGCAGTCGTCCTTTGGGCACTGCAGTCACGCTCTCAGGTCACTATGACCACCTCTAATCCAATTTCCCTTTCAGATGCCTCCAGAAGAACCCTTCCACGGTGTGGGCAACCGGGAAGTGATAACCGCCCCTGTACCTCTATCAGCACTCAAGACCACTGTATTCATAATCAACCACCCTCGTCAATTCCTACAGGTAAGCTTAATCAAATACGAAATACAAATTTTATAGCTCATCAAATTTTTAGACATTGCAGTAGATGGAGGTTAGAGAATACGCAAAACTTACAAAATATATAAGGATTCTACGAAGCCAATGAATTTAAAGATAACAATTGAGAAATATGGTAAACGTTTCGCGATGGAACAACAACAATTATTTCCTAGGAATTATTAATAACAACTTGTAAACTCGTTTTTCTGATTCAGTATTAATGATGATTTAATAAACTTGTGCATAATTTTTATTTTCCTCTTCTTCCTACTTTCATGGGGAGGCATACCAATAGTGTTAACGAGTAACTGTCTGTGAGAATTAAGAACTTGTACTTCTGCATCAGTTTCGATAAAACGTAGCGTTGTGTCATTATTAATTGTGACGAAATGACAAGTCACTTTACACAGTGATACGACTTCCACGTAAAATCCTACAGATTAGGCAACTGCATGATATTTACCGTTGTCGGATTAGGTCTATTATCAAATAATTATTAGTACCGAACTAGAAAATAACTCCATGCAGTTTCCTGATAAGATGGGTTACGTAATAATTGGGATTCTCAAACAACCCTTTCACTCACACTTTTTTGCTTACTTGATGTGAACTCTTTAAATTGTATTCAATTATCTTATCAGTTTTTAACTCCATGAATCCTTTATTACCTCTAAAATTATCATAATTTATCTTATCTGTGCCTGAACTCCACTTGATTATTACACTACCCATCCTTAATGTTTCCTTAATTCTAATACCAGATAACCTTTGACCTGTTCTTGCATATATATATATATATATATATATATATATATATATATATATATATATATAGTTATTGATGACCTAGGTCATTCCAATTCTTTACTTTCCCATGTCAATTGTTTCATACTATTTCTTGCCTCAATGTTAAATTCTAATACATTTTTGGTTGTATGCAGCTTACGAGAAACCACGAAATATAATACAGTCATATTATTCTGCATCAATATCTGTTCTGGCTTTATTTAGACTATAATTATACATACAGGATTTATAATGTAAAACACTGAGTAAGGTTGTTATGTTTATATCTAAATAATTCATTAGATGGATGAACATGGCAGTGGGCAATATAAAACAGTTATCGTAAACTTGTTAGATTGGTTCTCCGCATGATCTTCCATAATCATAAATCCTATAAGCTTTATACAGTTCTGAAAAACAACAATCAGTTAAACTTAGTTATCAGTATCGAATTCAATAAGTTAATCAAAAAGCAGGTAACAGAATGTACTTATAAGTGTCTTACTTGTAAACGGTGCTATTCATTAGAGATTTCGGATGCCGTCAATAGAAATTTATTGGTAATCTTTCTAGCAGACACATGAATTAGTGTTAAATACAACTTGCTTTGGTTACTAGGCTCACAACATACACACGTCGTTCGACTTGTGAACTAAACGTGACTCATTACCGTGGCACTTATAGTAATGTTATACACAGTTCCTTGCTTCAACCTACATTTTACAAACAGCTACGAACATCCAAATCCATCAAAATAATTAAGGAGGTGAATGAAATGCAAATGGTTTCACAGCTTATTTTTGCATATAACTTCGATATGGGCAAATAGATGAATAATATGACTACAACTCATAAACAATTAGAAAAGAACGTTAATGCCCACTCAAGATAGCCACAAGCAACATATACATATGTAGAACGTGCTTGCTGTTAGTATGAATCTATTGATTATTATATCTTCCAGATT